CGCCTCTGAGGACCGCTGCCTGAGGGGCACGGTGCCGGCGCCGGTCCCGCCCTGGTGTGCAGGTGGCCTGGCCCACAGAGGAAGGGGCGGGGGCCGCTTGCAGCCCGGGGAGGCCCGGTGGGCGGAGGAGCGCAGGGCTTCCGCCCAGAGTGTGCCCTGGCCGTCGGGGCCGCTGACAGTTTCCAGGGAACCATGGGGCCCGGAGCCCCCTGTGCGCCTCGGCCCGTCAGCCACGTGCAGACATGCGCGCCCCCCCCCCCACCCCCACAGGTGACCGGTGTCTGCAGCTGAGCGGGGAGAAGGGAAGGGTGCCTGGAGGTTGAAGAGAACCTGAGAGAAATCAGCTTATCGCCCTGTGTAGACCTTGTTTGGATCTTGGTCTGAGTACAGCTTAAAAACCGTGCGTGAGGCTCTCTAAGAATCGGGGCACTTCGTGGCTCTTTGGTGACATTGTGGAGCTGTCCGTTTATTCAGGTACGTGGCTGGTATTTGGCCGTGTTTCTGAAAGGGTTCGTGCAGAGAAGCTGGCCCAGGCGAGCAGCCGCAGACAGAGCGCGGCGAGGGCCGGCCTGCGCCCACGCAGCGGGAGGGTGGCTGGGGGCAGTCGCTGGAACTGGGGGATGCGCCCGTGGCAGTCAGCGGTGCCCTTCTCTCTCTGTCTTTGTGTACTTTCGAAATTTCCATAAAAAAATAAAATTATACATTCCAGAGAAAGGTCATAAACTCGTAATGATGAGAGCAGAAGAAGAAACAACCACCACAGCCCGAAGCTGGAAAGCTGGGGCCTAAGCCACACGGTACGTCCGAGTGGCAGGCGCCAGCGGCTGGGCGTGATGAAGCCCGGACACTGGGTGACGGAGTCGCCCGCCCGCTGGTGGCCGACGGAAGGTTTTTGCTCTGGGGAAGACTCCAGGATCCCCTCCAGGGGCCAGGAGCAAGTAGAGGATGTGGACCGCGTGGGAGAGCAGAGGCAGGGTTGGCTGCACTGTGATGAGCCTGAGAGCGGACCCCATGCCCCACCCTGGAGGCCCAGTCCTTGCCCTGCCGCCCCCCACCCCCCGCCCCGCCGCCCCGGAGCCCACAGCCTGGGGGCGCTGGGCCTCAGTGTCCTGACCACCGCCCGCCCTGCCAGCTGCTTCCCCGGGATCGCACGCCCTCGCTCTGGCTCAGGGACGCATCCTGGGATGGCCCGGCCCCTGCGCGGGGTCTGAGCCGGAGCCATAGAAGCAAAACGACAGACAGGAGGAAGCATACTGTGCCGAGGAAAGAGCCCCGAGGAGCGGTCACGGCCATCCCCAGCGGAGAGAGAAACACGTTGCCCTTGGCGTGAGGACAGGATGGCACAGAAGGGTGTTCGGGGGCCTGGGCCGCTGAACGTGGCACTGGTGTGTCCGTTACAAACGTGACAGCAGAAATGAGAAAGGGCCAGGTTAGAATTACACATAAGGAAATCGCATAGAAAGTTGTGCCTGAGAAAGAACAGGAGACAGAAATCCGAGGAGCCTCTCAGGAGATTTACCACCTGAACATGAGGGGCTTCAGAAGGAAGAAACGGAAAAAAGGAAGTCAGCAAAATAACTCCAGGGAAGTCCCTACGAGGAAGACACCAGCGGCGGCAGCCAACAGTCCGGCTGGGCGCCTCACGGCGGGTGTGAAGGGCTCGGCCCCAAGCACGTTGCTCTAAAACTCAGCCCTGCGGCCAAGGAGAAGGAAGATGGATGCCCGCAGAGCACAGAGTCAGGCCCCACAGGCCTCCCGGGTCGGACCAGCCTGACGCTCCGTGACAGCGCTGGGATCGGCGGGGAGAGCAGTGCCTGCAGGCCCAGCGGAGGTGGCTGGAGCCTCGGTCCTGGCGCCACGGGGGCGAGGGTGCAGCACAATGAGGGATGAGGGCTGCGCGGGAGAGATGGGCAGGCTTGTCCCCGGCTTCCCTCTCAGGACGCAGGCGGAGCCTGAGTCCCCGCAGGATGAGCGAGCGACCCGAGGAAGAGAAGCAGCCAAAGGAGCCGGCGCATTCCTCGTGGGGCGAGAGGCGGCCCCGGGCCACCGGGCCGGGCAGAGCCCTTGGGCTTCAGGCGCGTGCGCGGAGGCCCGTGCGCTGTGGCCCGTGGGCAGAAGCCGGGAGCCTGCCCCGGACTCTGGTTTGTCGCTGACTTGTCCGCACGCACCCCGCTGTCCTGCCCCTCCCGTGGCCCGGTCCCCTGAGGACCCATGTTCCTCACACGCGGGGAGGGCAGGCAGCCGCGGCGGACGTGGGGGCGCGCTCCCAGGTGCCACACTGGGGTGGCCCTTGGTTACCTGAGGATACTCACGGCCTGTCCCCAGAAGGCACTGCGGCCCACTGTCCTGGGGGCTGCACGGGACACAGCACCTCTTACCTTGTCCCGGGAGCCGTTACCACCCTGTCGTTCCCCTGCGCTGGCGTCGGCCGCCCTCACAAAGGGGTGCACGTGTCGGGGTAACGTGGGGGACGTGTAACCGTGAAGAACACAGGGCCACCTGACGCAGTGCCGGTGCGTGGCCCGCGTGTCTCCCGTGTGTGGGCCCATCCGCCGCCAGCCTGCACACCCCCCCGCCCCCCCCCCCCCGGGCAGGCAGCGTCGCAGCAAGGGGAGGCCGTGGCGCCGTGGGTGGAGCAGCTGTCGTTGCCCCCGGGTCTCAGTGAATGGCCCTGTCCTGGACCGGACCCCAGGCTCCGGCCGTGGTCCCCCGGGAACCGCGCTGCTCTGCCGCGTGCATCCGTGTGGCGGCGGGGGCGGCACTCAGCTGGGGGGCCTGGCCCGGGTGGGAAGGGACAGCGGCGCCTTGGCTGCGGCCGCTCGCCGTGCGGATGAGACGTTCCCCTTTGCGACCGCGTGGGACGCCGCGCAGGCCGCGCTTCCGGGCGGCTCTGAGTGCCCTCTTTGTGTGTCCGCTGACGTCACGGGCCTGACTGCGTTACTCTGTTTCTCAGGGCACGACCTATAAAAGCAGTTTCCTTTTACACCATAAAATATTCATGAGAATACAGGCTTTTTTGTTCTGATACTACATTCTTTAAGCAGAGAAGGTTTTATTGTTTCTTCAGGGCCCTTTGGGTCAAACGCACTAGCAGCTTCTGTTGGGAACTCAAGGCATTTCAAATAGTTTTTGATACCAAATTAGAGTAAGTCATGTTTGACGCACCCTCCGGAGACCGGAATGAATGGGGATTGTGACGCCTCTCCACAGCTGGTGTGCAGGGCAGGGCCGAGGACAGCTTTGGTCCCCCCCCCACCTGGCATCTTGATGTGGGGCACACTCGGGATGAGGAGGTGGCATCTCTCGAGCCCTGTGTGGCCCCCCTGGACTCTCTTTGCCCATGTGAGCTGCCAGGCTGGTTTTTGAGTCCAGCCATAGCCGAGCATTGTCGGCAGAGGTGGGGAAATGGCAGGAGCTTGTTTTGATGTCAGGCGTAGGTAACGTTCAACTTACCATTTTCTCTGCTCCGCTTTTAACGTTCCATAGCAGCGGAGGGACTGCCACGCTTTCAGCCAGCGGTCAGCACACACGGAGGAAGTGCTGGGCTGGCTGCGGCAAGGTCACCTGCTGCAGACGCCACGTCTGTGCCCCACGCTGCCCATTCCGGGCAGCGGTGAGGCTTGTTGGTAGCCCTCGCTACCTCGGCCTGCTCCTCTCCTGGGCGCATCGCTCTTTGCTGCCAGGGAGGGTGTCCTTAGAAGATTCTCTGGGACTCCATACTCAGGAGAATCTGAGAGAAGTTTGAGTCAACAAAACGAGCCTCAGCTCGCACATGGCAGGTGCGCGCAGCCTGCCCTGCATTGTGACGGAGGGGCCCCTTGAGTCGCGGCCGCCGCCCCCGTGCCCTCCCTCCCAGGGGGCTCTGTGGCCAGGGCTGAGGTCCCGGGCGTGCCGGGTGCTCTCCCAGGCAGACTCTGGTTCAGGGGGACGTAGAACGTGGCCTGTGCGGAGGGTCCAGGTGGAGCTGGCCCTGGGGCGAGGGAACCGGTCCTTGGTGGAGTTGGGGCCCCCAGCTGAGCCTTGCACTCCCTGCAGGGCAAGCCCCCACCCCCCCAATCCCTGGCCCCAGGCCCCGGTTCTGGATTTATCAGTTGATGAAGAAATGGACCCAGAGCAGATTGTAGGGGGGCCTTTCTGGGAGGGACCAGGAAGCCATGGGCCTCGTGTGGTGCTCTCGCCTCAGCCCCTGCAGGGGCGGCATCTGCGCGTTTGAGCACCGCAGGCGGGTCCCTGGGGCCCTTGTGTGGGCCTGCGTTCCCGTGGTTCCGGATGGGCTGTCGCGGCAGGAGCCCCATGTCGGGTACGCCCGTCGCTGAAATCATACGTTCTTCCCGCGTCCCTTCTCTCTGATTTGGGCTGCTTTTTAAGCACTGGGGAGGGTTCAGCTGCTGCTTCTAATCCCCTCACTTGTGTTGTCCTCGGCCGTCCTCGGCCGGCACGCGAGCCGGGAAGGAGGCCGGTGGTTCTGCGGCTAAGGCACGGCTGTGCATGCGCCTGGCAGGCCAGCTGAGAGGGCACCGTGGGCTGCAGCCGGGGGACACGTGCGAGATCACACGCGCTTTGCCGTGGAGACGGGCCGGGCCCTGAGGGTGTGCGTGGACCTGCTGTGGCACACGCTGCACCGTGGCGTTGTGAACAGGTGGCGGAGCGAGGCCGCCAGCCCCGCCAGCGAGCGCAGTGCCGTACCCTCCGGGGCCGTCCCCTCCCCTCCTCTGCTCCTCTGCGTTGCTTTCAAACGGGCCCTCAGCAGAGGCGAAGGGCCTGGGGTGTGGTCGGTGCTGGGGGCGAGCGGGCCCCTGCGGAGTGGGTGCCTGCCTCCGGGGCGGCCCTCTCTGACGGCGCTGAGTCCTGCATCACGCCTGCTGGGCAAGAGCGGGGCAGCGGCATCCGCAACGTGAACGGTCCTTCAGCACGCGGGGCCCCCTTGCTGCTTGCCAGGGGCTGGGGCGGGGACGCCGTGGCCAGTCGTGACCGCGCTCTGTGCTTTGCTCTCTCCGCAGTGGAGGTGCCCTCGACACTGCCTTTGCAGGCGGCCCCCCCAGCGGTGCCCATGGACCTGCGCCTGGACCAGCAGTTCCCGCTGCCCATGGCAGAGCCCGCCCTCCGGGAGCAGCAGCTGCAGCAGGAGCTGCTGGCGCTCAAGCAGAAGCAGCAGCTGCAGCGGCAGCTCCTCATCGCCGAGTTCCAGCGGCAGCACGAGCAGCTGTCGCGGCAGCACGAGGCCCAGCTGCACGAGCACATCAAGGTGGGTCCCCGCCACGTGCCCCCGTGTCCCAGGCTGCCAGACAGCCCCGCAGCTGTGGTGCCGCCAGGACTCGGCGGGGCCGCCCTGACGCGTGGCGGTGGGGGGACCCGCGGCCGAGCCCCGGGCCGGTGCGCTTCGAGCAGGGGGCAGCTTCTGGCCTGTCCCCTCTGCAGACGTGCATCTGCAGCAGGAAGGCCACCCCCAGGGACCCCAGCCCGGTCCTCTCTTGGGCTCTGTGTTTTTTAATGTTTTCTCTCATTTAAATGGGATAAGGAAAACTAGCCATAGGTCTTTCGGGAGGGGGCAGGTCTTACTCTCCACAGATACTTACTTGGATCCTAGATTTTAAAATTAAACACACGGGGCGACGTAGCGAAGCTGCGGGATGCAGCGGGCAGACCCGCTGTGGTGTGCGAGCCCAGGCAGCTCTCGCCGCACTCAGGGCCGAGCAGAACGGCTCTGCCCAGGGGGGTGGGGGGCACGGGGCGTGGGGCTGTCAGCGGGCTGCTGTGCGTTCTCTGGGGGCCGCCTTGAAGCAGTGGATCCTGTCTAGGCTGTACAGCAAGTTCCCTCCACGCTCGGCAGCCTCAAACACTTTCTGGGGGTCGAGGATCCGGGAGCAGGCGAGCTGGCGGGTAGTGCTGGGGTTTCCCATGAGGCTGGGGTCGCGCTGTGGGGCAGGGCCACATGCCACGTCCACGCTCAGCCACGGGGCTGCAGGCCGGGGCCCCTGGCACAGGTCCTGGTGTGGCAGTGCGCGGTCAAGGTGCGGGGCCTGTGTCTTCTGTAGCCTAACCTTGGAAGTGATGGGCCCTCTTCTGCTGTATTCTCCTGGCCACACAGACCCCCCTGCGAGGGGCGCAGACAAGGGGTGACTACCAGGGAGCCGGGGTCCTCAGGGGCCCCTGAGAAGCTGGCTACGCAAGGGCAAGATGACTTCAGAAGCTTTTCTTTCACATCACTTTCATAAAACACTGCCACAGCATGGTATCAGTGTGAATAGCTCGTTCACGCTGTGCCTCTTGAGCTGCATACCAGGCACGCAGTTCAGGCATCCTTGGGCACCTCGCGGGTGTGCGTGCTCAGTGGCTGCTGCATCAGACGGCCCCATGCCCTCGGGCACCCTGAGGCTCCCCAGAGACCCTTTCAGGGGAGGCCTCCACAGCCCTTTGTGACATCTCGGAGGGATGTCACTCAGCTGGCCCTGACTCTCCCAGGCGTCTGCCTGCACCCAGATGGCATGCGCCCGTGTGCCCTGCACGGGAGCCGGCAACCTGCTCTTGCCTGCTCTGGCCAGCAGCCCCTCGTGCAGGGAGATGCTCAGCTTGGTGTGCTCCTCCACCTGCCTTGTTGACAGACAGGGATGGCCCATGTACCAAGGCCAGGCCACTGGCTCTCCTTCAGACTCGGGGCAGCGTGGCTGGGGTGGCCTCCCTGCGGGGTCACCTGGCTCAGTGAGCTGTGTCCCAGTGCCGCCTGTCCCTGAGGACAGGCCCCGAAGCACACAGGGTGCCTGCGTGTGCGCCCCATAGCGGGCCTGAGTGCGCCATCCGCAGGCGTCCTGAGCCCAGGATGTGGGGCTGCTGCTCCGGAGGCCCCGGTCTCAACAGTCCTGATTGTGGCTTCGGTTTTCTTTGGTTTGGCGTGGACTGGCTGCCGCTTTCCACCCTGACTGGCTGGCAGTGGACAAACTGAGGAGAGGACACTTTGCTGAGCTGCTGGAAGTCGAGGCCTTCTGGCTTGGCCTTTGCGTTTCAGAGGGACCCAGTCATCCTGTGTAACAAAGGTGCCTGTCGTCTCCGTGGAGATGGGTGTGCGTGCAGCCAGCTGACTCTTACCTTCCACGAGTGCGCGTGTCCGGGCGAGCCGTGCCCTTCGCTTCCCCGACACCGAGTGCACGCGCTCCTGCGCCCGTTCTCCCTGCTGGCTGGGGTGACGGGCCCAGGGCTGGGCGCGGGAAGGCCTCTGCTGCCCAGGGCTGCCCTGCGCGGCGGGGCCGTGCGCCTCTGGTCTGCAGGGCTGAGAGGAAGGCCTGCCCCCGACCGGCCACGGGAGATGTCCGCCTGCCGTCCGAGCGTCACTGCTCCCGAAGCCATCCCAGGCGGCTGCCTGCAGCTCCCACGGTGGCCTCGGCGTGCGGGCCTTTCAGTGACTGCCATGGGCCCTCGCCAGGTGCCAGTCTCGTTTTCTTTGCAGCCATGGCCTCCTGGGTCTGAGACCCCCGCAGGCGACATAAGGACAAGCGTGTGGGGCCAGCCCCCTGCAGTCCCTCAGGGCCTCCGCCACCACGTCCTGTGCTCCGTCTCCCCGTCTCACGGGCCTGAAGGACCACACGGTCCGTCTTCTCCTCCTGTCCAGGTGGCCCCTGTGACCTGGCTCCTCAAGACCAGCGGGCCCTCACTGTCAAGGCCAGAGCGTGTGTGTCCCCGCCAGCCACCGGCGTGCGCATGTCCAGCCCGGCAGGCGAAGACATGCCTGCCTGGCGGGCCTGAGCGCGGTGAGAGCTGCCTGGGCTCGCACACCACAGCGGGTCCTGCCCGGCTGGACATGCGCACGCAGGCCTGGCAAAGCTGCACCAGGCGAAGGAGACTCGGCAGCTGCCTGTCGGCTTGTGGTCCCTGGTTTTTCACTGTCCCTCACACTCCTGACCGTGCCTGCTCATCCAGGCTGCACCAGGACAGCATCACTGCCCGCCCCGCCCCCCCGCCGGTCCCCCGGGCTGTGCACGGAGACCCGTGGGTGGGCCAGTTGAATGGGTAACCTAGAGAAAGAAATGAGAAACGAACAGACCTCGAGGGCGTGGGGTTGCCGGGACCACAAGCAACAGTGAGGCCGTTGTGGGGGGCAGCGCGGCCCGGCCCGGCCCCTGCCCTGGGGCCTGCCTCCTAGACCCTGTGCCCACCCTCAGCTGGCTCTCCAGGAGCCCGTGTCACCGCTGTGGCGAAGGAACAGTGTCCCTCCTGAGCCCACCTGTCAGCGTGGGCCGGGCTGGGCTGGCCTGGCCCTGGGGTGCCCCGGAGTGCCCCGGAGGCCAGCTTTGGTTTCTGTCGTTTGCGTTCTCCATGAGCTGTCCTGTGCTCAGTGACATCTGGCGGCGGTGTTGGCCCGCTTCCTGGAGCACACAGTCTAATTAGTGTCATTAAGTCATCAGTGAATTTGAATAGAAATTTGTAAACGAGAGGGAATCTTTTAAAGACAAGACTCAGGTTGTGGACTCCGAGCGCGAGCGTGGAAGCCTGTGCCGAGGACTCAGTGCCCTGCTGCGCGTGCCCTGCTGCGCGTGCCCTGACGGCGTCCGTGCGAGTCAGGCCGAGGCCGAGGCCGGCGCCCGCGCCGCACTCCTCGCCTTCCTGCACAGGCAGCTCTCCGCCCTCCTGGAGCCACGCCTGGCTGCGCCGCACCCGAGGTGGCAACGTGCAGCGTGTTTGTGCCCAGGCACTGTTCCTTCGGGGCGACGGGGTCGGCACCAGCGCGCCGCGACCGGGCACCCCTCCCTTGTCCGCGCGTGTGCCGGGACCCTTGCTCATGGCGGCCGTGTCGCCCTGTGCTGGCCACTTGCCGCGCTGCTCCTGCTCGCCGTCACTGCACGGCTGCGCCCCCATCCCAGGGCTGCCCCCGTCTCACGGTCGCCGGCGTGCCCCGGGAGGCCCACCGTGCTGGGCGTGGCCGTCCGGCCGTCCCCTTGCGCGTGGTCAGGAGTGCCCGCTTGTCCTGCCCTCACTCACAGGGCAGGGCGTAGTTCCTGGATGGCCAGAAGTGCCGCCTCGGCGCCAGAGGGTGTCCGTCTTGCTGGCTGGCTGGCTGTCCGTGTAGACACGCACAGCACCCGCAGGAACCTCCGCCTGGCGGGCCGGGCTTTTTCCCGTCGGCCTGTCCCCGGCCCCGTGCCGAGTCCCCCTTTTCCGTTCACCGTGGCCTCTCGTCCCGTTTCGTCCCGTTTGCTCTTCCAGGCAGACGTCATGCTGTGTCCCGGGAAGGCACCTCCCACCTGGCTCTGGCCGTTCGTGGAAGTTGCAGCAAGTTCACGGGCTAACAGAGAGGGCCTGTAATGACAGCCTGATGATTTGAGGCCTTTTCTGTCCTTACGAAAAGCTTTGTTTTACTTTTTACATAGAAGAGGTATAGGCTTTATAGTTGGTTATTCTTTGGCATCATAGTTTTTTCTGACTCCTCTCAATACACTTGTAACTGGTTATCCTGTGCCTTCCAGCCGGACAGAAACGCCGTCTGCAGATAGTAGCAGTGGCTCCTCCCCTCTGGCTACAGTGGCTGAACCTTCCTGACTGGGCTGAGACCTGGAGAAGTCTCCGTGGCCACCTCCTGGGGGGGCGGGGGGCAGGGGCCGCCGCAGGCCCTGCTGTTGCCCAGGCCAAGGGGGTGCCCCGCGGGCCCCGGCTCTGACCCCAGCCGTGCAGCGCTCAGCAGCCCTAGGGGAGGCGGGGCCTGCGTCGCCCAGGCCGTGGGCCCCTCGGGGTCGCCCCGGGAGCATCCCTCCCCCTCCTCCTGTGGGGTTGAGTCCCCCCAGGGCAGGGGCCCGGCCTGGGTCCCCTGTGCAGACCCTGGCCGCCTGCTGGAACAGCGGCTTGCTGGGCGTGCTGGGTGCCTGTGGAGTGTGGTGGTCTTTGGAGCTATTTCACCGTTTCCAGGGCTGCTCGGTCCTCGGGTCCCCTTCGTGACAAGGGAGTTTTCCCGTTTCCTGTGCCCGGCAGGCAGGATGGCGCGTGCCTGGGGACTGGGCTTCGCACTCACTGTCGCCAGACAGACTCCAGCAGGTGGGGTTCCACGTAAGGAGCAGCAGGGCGCTGGCCGGTGGGGCTCCGTTGGTTGAAGCGTCATCCTGTGAACCGAAAGGTCACAGTTCGATGCCTGGTCAGGGCACATGCGAGAGGCAGCCGACCGCTGTTTCTCACTCACATCCGTGTTTCTCTCCCTCTCGTTCTCTCTCTCTAAAATCGGGAAGCATGTCCTCAGGTGAGGACAAGAAAGAAAACAAACAGCTGTGCCTTTTTTTTTTTTTTTCCTATTTTGTGGACAATCCTTAGCTTTTCCCTTACTCATCTTTTTTAATATAGTGTAAAATTCATTATTTGACTATTTTAAAGTATACAATTCAGTGACGTGTGGTGCACTTGCAGTAAAGGACAACTGTCGCCCCTGTCTAGTCACAAAAGGAACCCCGGGCCCATCCAGCAGCTTCGCCCTGGAGCCCCGCCCCCAGCCCAGCCGCACTCGCCTGCTCTCCGCCCCCGTGAACTTCAGGGTCCGTCCACACCGCCACGGGTGTCGGTGCCCCTCACGCGGGACGGTGTTCCTTTGTGTGAACGCATCTCAGTTCGTCTGTTGCTGGGCGAATGCGTTGCTCCCACTCCTGGTGACTGTGACCGGTACCCGATAAGCACTTGTGCCCACGTTGGCTTTGAGCGCCATTTTCTTTGGGGCAGAATTGCGTCTTCTGGTAACGCTGTTACCGCTACACCCCTGAACCGCGTTTAGTTGTGGTAACTACGTAATTGTTGACGCCCTGACTCCTTTCACGCCTGTGGTTCAGTGTCCACGCACACTCATCGCTCTGCAGCCACCGCCACCGTCCGTCTCCAGGACTTTGCCACACGGAGGTGCTGTGCCTGTCACATGCTGCGCGCCCCCGTCCTGGCGTCTGCCGCTCTGCGCGCACACGTGCTCGGTGGGCCCCAGGCTGGCAGCGTCGCTGGTTGTTTGTCCGGAACAGCGCCCCTCACCGGGGGTCCAGTGGTGAGCCCGAGGGCTGGGCCCCTTCCCTTCCGCAGCCCCTGGAGAGAATCCTCGCCAAGCCGGCCAGTGTGGGGGCCGCTCCCACACCACCGTGTGAACGGCATGTGCGTTTTTGCTCCTGAGGATGAGCTCTGCTCAGTCCCCGCCCGTTGTGTCTCAGGGGCTGGCAGGGCAGGCGCGCAGCTCGGTGCCCTGCTGCGCCTGGGACTCTCCGGAGGTCACCTCGTTGACTTCTTGCAGCCGTGCCCCGCCCCCCCCCCTTGTGGAACGTTGGCGGGAGGAGTTCTGCGCCCGAGTGGAGGGGGCGGGGCAGCGCCAGGGACACAGCCAGGCAGTGTGGTCTCAGTGCTCCCCTGTGGCCACATGCCGTGCGCCACTCGGCACGTCGTCTGGGGGTCCAGGTGGCAAACTGGGAGAAGGGGTGTGAAAAGTGCCTGCTGTCCCCCGGTTCAGGTCAGGTGACTGTTGGCCGAGTTTTTTTCCTCCATAGGAAAGCTCTAAGAGCTGACCTTGGGGTCCCTGGATCCCCCGGCCCGGGCCCTGCATCGGACGGCCACCGCTGTCCAGGAGCCGCCCTCTGGGCTGGTGCGCTGCTGCGTGAGGGCTGGGCGCTCGCCTTCCATCAGGCCCTCACCCCGGGCACCAGGGGCAAGCGCCCCCACCTTCCCCCGCCCCTCGCTCCTGTGCTGGTTTGGGGCAGCCACACCCCACTTTCTGGCCCTGTGGTCCCTGTGTTCCCAGCTGGAAGTGCCCTTTCCTCTTGGTGGAAAACAGCAGGTGGCCATGTTTGTGGACGAGGCCAGGGCACCCTGTGGTCAGGAGCGCCACCTGCTGATGCCGCACTTGGCGCATCACTGCTCTGTGTGCAGCCGTGGGCGGCCGGCTGGCCAGCTAGAGCTGAAGGCCCGCAAGTCTTTGGGGACCCGCTGTCGGGCCATTAGCACAGCCACAGGCGTGGGGGTCGGCCGGGCCCCCCGTGGTCAGATGTGGCAGAGAGGCCTGGCCACCGTCCTGCATCCCTGCTTTCACGCCCGGGTCTCTCCAGGTTGTGGCTGTGTCCCTGTGGCTCACCCAGTTGCTGCCCGTCCTTCTGAAGTTGTGCTGAATGTCACCTGCTGCTGGGCACACACGTGTGCTCCGCACCTGGACGGCGGGCTGCTCTGGGAGCCAGGGGGGTCTGTGTGGGCAGAGCCCCGGGGACAGAGAGACAGAGGGCGAGGAGCAGCCTCGTTGGGGGCGAGGAGCAGCCTCGTTGGGGGCGGGGAGCGGCGCGCAGGGCCCGACGCCAAGACGGGAGCCTGCCTCGCCGAGGGCTTCCTGCACAGCCTGGTCGGCATGGGGCTGGCGCCCCTCGGCTCGTCCAGGGCGGTCCCTGGGGTGGGGGAAGGTTGCTTCCCACTTGTTTTGAACCCCTTCTGTGAATCTCGGTCCCTTCTGCTTCCCTTTTCAGTCGGCTGCTTATCGTGTTCTTAGGAACTTAGAACAGACTTAGAACAGCCGTTTATAGAGGAAGCGTACCTGTGTGTCATACACGCTGGTTTTCCTTACTCGTCTTTGCGTTTTAATTTTGTTTATAGTGTTTCTTAGGTAATTTTACATCATCGGTTGTGTCACTTTGCAAACCCTGGTATAGTTCACACACAGCCCTGGACCGATTTTGAGGGTCTGCCCGGGAGCGCCGCCCCGGCTGCCCCTCCTCCTGCCTCCGCCCCCACCGCAGCCCCGCCCTCCCCGCCCTCAGGCCCCGTCGGGGGCTCGCACTCCCGGTGGGCTCTGCGGTCTGCCAGGGCCTCTCCTGGGTCTGCGGCTCGCCCCTTGTCGCCGCCGGGGGGCGTTCCAGCCTGTGAGTGCAGCGTGGGTGCCGCTCGGGGCGCGTCAGGCCGGGGCGTCCTGAGCAGCTGCCCTGCGTGTTCTCAGCAGGGCTCCGGCAAGGCCCAGGCGTGGGTGGCTGTGCTTTAAGGGGAACGCGTATTCCATGCTCTTGTGTGTCCTCCTCAGAGGGGTGTTCCCAGCGTGCAAGATGACACACCTCTTCTCGTGTGCTGCTCTCTAGGGAGTGGATTGTTTTTATTTTCATTGTCAACACTTTAAAGGTCGGAGGCGTGGGGGCCCCAAGCAGCCCAGGGTGCCTGCCGCTGGCCAGAGTCGGGGTGGCGTTGGAGGCAGTGCTGGCTGCGGGGCCGGCCCCGGGGCACCCCAGTGCGGGGTGCGGGCCACCGTGGCTCTGCCGTGCGTGTGTCGTCCTGTCCTGGCCCTGCTCTGACCTCTGCTCTCCCCCTCCTGCAGCAGCAGCAGGAGCTGCTGGCCATGAAGCACCAGCAGGAGCTGCTGGAGCACCAGCGGAAGCTGGAGAGGCACCGCCAGGAGCAGGAGCTGGAGCAGCGGCACCGGGAGCAGAAGCTGCAGCAGCTCAAGAACAAGGAGAAAGGCAAAGAGAGTGAGTCCGCGCCAGGGGACACGGCCGGGCCGGGTTGGGGGGCGGTGGGGGCGGGGTTCTCTGTGTCCCACTCCAGAAGCAGCGCTGGAACGGGAGCAGCCCCCAGGTCCCAGCACAAGGTGTCCCTGCAAGTTCGCTGCGGATGGTGGTTTCAGGCCGCACCCACTTCAGCCTTGGTGGAGGGCCCTGTCCTCCCGTGGGGGCTGCAGGAGCCGGCAGTGTGACCTGTGGTCTGAGCAGAGCATCTTAAGGAACATCTGGCAGGTTCCTAGGAGCCTGAAAAGCCGTAGAGCCTACCGGACGCATAGCACGTCCCACCCGTGAGCTCGGCCCTGAGTGTTCCAGCGCTCTGCTCCTCGGAGAGCGTCCAGAGTGCCCTGAAGCTGGCGCTGGCGTGCAGGGTGCCCGCCGCTGAGGGGCGGCAGCGGCACCAGCCCGACTCCGCTTTTTGTAGCGGCTGTGCTTGCAGGTCGGAAGGACGGTGCGCGCTGTTACCCTGACGCCCGGCGTCACCGCGCCCTGCAGGCTCCTCTGGGCGCCGCCCCCTTTGGAAAATTCTCCGGTCTTGCGGGGAAGAGGCTGCAGCCCTGTCTGTGGAGCCCGTGGGACCAGAGCGCTGTGGGTTCGTGTAGTGACACACCGCAAAGCGAGCGGCCTGGGGCAGGCCCGGCCTGTCCGCTGCTGTGGTTCCCCGCCCAGACCGGGTCGCAGGGCCGCACACCGCCCCTCTGCGGAGCATGTGCGTGTTCACAGCCTGTCCGCAGCGCGGCTGCCTTGGCTTGTTCCTCACTGGCCCGGAGGGAGTGGGGCTCCAGGCACCAGTGGCCAGACATTCGGCTCACCCGGTGGTCGCGGGTGACGGCCCACGCAGCCACCAAGCAGCCACCTTGACAGCCATCGCAGCAGGCTTCTCTGAAACGTCAGCGCCGTGTGCTCAACGACGCGCTGTGTTCCTAGAGCCGTCGCATAAAACCTGTCACACTGCGCTGGTTTAAAAACCTGTTGCGTAGGCGTGTGGCGGACCCGCAGGGGCTCCAGCTGTCGTCGTGCCGGGGGCGGCCCTCCAGGACGCAGCCTGTGGGGCCATCCCAAGGGACCCCGGGGCCGGGGTGGCCCAGCCCTTCCCCGTCCCAGAGGCCGCGCCTCTCCGCCCCCGGCACCCCGAGGTCACGCCCTTCCTCCGCCCCCAAGGGACCGGGCCCTTGCCTGACCGGCGTTCCCTTTTCTCCACGCTGCCCGGGCGGAGCAGGCGGCGTCCCGCCCTGGCGGGTGCCCCCGTGCGCATCCAGCGCACCCCGGCGCCTGGGTCGCTTCCTGACGCAGGCCGTCCCAGCCGGGGGGCCGCGCACGGCCTCGACGGGGTCGCTGTGCCATGGCATTGCTGACCTGTGGCGAGCGTCGGTTCAGCTTGCCTGCCCAACGCCGAGCAGCCACCAGCGTCGCTGTGCCGGGTTCCGCCCCCGCCAGCTGTGGGACGGTTCCCGTCGCTCCATGTCCCTGCCGGTGCTGGTGCTGCTGTTGGCCGCTGCCTGTCAGCTGGGCGCATCGGCTCCTCGGGGCTCCAGCAGGTCTCTCTGATGGCCGGTGAGGCTCGGTGCACTTTGCTGTGCGAGGGGCCAGAGGATGTCCCCTGGGTGTGGTGTGTCCACGTATCCGGCACGCGCTCTTCCTCTCTCTCGACGTGGAGTGTCCCGTGTCCTGCAACCCAGCCCGTTGCTGGGTCACGCGGAGCACGTTCCCCTCCTCTCCCTCCTGCCGCCCTCACCCCGCACCCAGGCCTCGTCTGACGGCCTGGGGACCCGCCTTCCTCCGTCAGAGGGAGGAGGTGGCTCAGTCGGCGCTGCTGTGGCTGTGTTGCTTTGTAGGGCTTACAAACATTTCTTTTCAAAAAAAGGTTATTTTTTTCCGAAGAAAATTTAGCTAACGTTTTCTCATTTTTAGCTTGTTTCTTAACTATTTGTAAGTTTTTAGTAATGGTTTTTATACATGAAATTAACATGTTTTACAATTGTTTGTCACTAGAATAGTTTACTGTCAAAGCAACAAGTTTGTGTTCGCCTCTGAGAGAGTTTCAGAGTAGAAAGCTCGTCAGGAGGGTTCGCCCACCGTGTGCAATCTGAGTTTTGTACCAGGTTTAAAAGCCACGAGCCAGCCTGGTGGCATAGCTCCGGCGCAACAGAGCCAGGCGGCGATGACAGCCGCAGGCACCCGTGGCTGCCCACAGCCGCGGTCGGAACGAGGACGGAGCCCCCGGGCGGAGCTGCGTGGCAGGGTCTGGTTGGCTGCATGCGCCTTGGTGTTGGGACACAGACTGGGCCCCGCCAGGGGCTGCCAGGCTCACAGTGTCTGTCGCTCTGCCTGCCGGCTTGGACCGAGGGGCTCTCCCGGCTGGGGTGCAGCCAGGACGCTGAGCCCCCGCAGGATGCCTGAGGTGCTGTGCGCGAACCCCCGTGTCCTCACGTGTTCCCTGGGGCAGAGCCCAGGCATCAGTGCTGTTGTTCCTGAGACTCGGGCTGGATCTGCGCCGCGGCCCACTTGCTCCTTGTGAGGAGTCCCCGTGTCCTCGAGGCTCCGTGGCCGGCCTCGCGTGGCTTGCCGTGCGGCGCTGCCTTCCCCCCAGCCTCCCCCGTGCACAAAGGCCCAGTCTTCCTGGGGCCCCGTGCGGGCTCGGCTGTGGGCAGGATGCCTGCCTGCCGCCCAAAGCCGCAGGTGCGCGCGCCGTACTGGCCCACGGGCTGCCCGTGGGGCCTCCGTTCCCGGTCCCCTGCTCTGCTCTGCTCGCAGCTCAGTGACCCTGCGTAGGGTTTTTCTTTGGGGGAAGGAGTGCGTTGCCGTGTGACCAAGGATGGAAGTTCGGCTTGTAGGTGTCATCAGGCTGGTCTGGGCCACAGCCGAGCAACCGTACCAGCTTCTCCTGCTGCTCAAACGCAGCTCAGTCTGCACCTGGTTCGCCAGACTCTTCCAACGCCAGTGACATGTTAAGCTTCACAAAATAGGAAAAGACTTGACTTCAGAAACATCTTAGATCTCTTTGCGAGTCACAGTCGATCTCTGCAGCCCCTGCGGGCCCCACTCACTGCAGGCCGGCCGGCATGGCGGAGCGCCCTCTGCCCCCTCCACACCCACCAGGCGGGGGTCCAGCGGTGGCTTCCGGGGTCGGGGTCTGTTTGTGACAGTCTGCTGTGCGGTGTGGGTGTTGGCACCCTCCGGTCCCAGCGGCTGCTGGCGCCTTGCGTGTGATTGGGAGAGCAGCCGGCTCGGGACCCTGCCTGTGAAGGACGGGGTCCTCGTTCTGGCTGCGGGGCGTCCGCAGGCCACGGCGGGGCACGTCCCGGCGGCCCCCAGTCACGCACTCGGGGGTGTGGGACAGCTCCACTGTCCAGTTCTTTTGTTTGTTAAATTAATTTCTTTTTGAATGTTTAATTCAAAGTGTTGTCACGCGTGTAAATATTTGCAGTACTTCTAATTTTAAGTAATTCTGCACTTTTGAAGTTAATGATACCCATTCATGCCATTTCATTTGCTAGAAGAGTGAACTCTCAGATTTTTGGGGACTTTTGGTATCTCAGCATTAATACATAGTCTTTCACCAGTTAAGTTTTGCTATGATTTACAAACTTTAAGAATTTGAGAGACACTATATACTGTACCTTAATGTAAGTTTAAGCCCTAGCTGGGTAGCTCAGTGTGTTAGAACGTGGTCGGTAATGCGTTGAGGTTGAGGATTCGATCACCGGTCAGGACACATACAGGAATCAGCCAAGGAAACATCAGTGCATGGAACAAGAGATCAATCTCCCCACCCCTCTTTTCTCTTTCTTTCTAAAATCAATAAATAAAAATTTAACGCAATTTAAAAGCAAGGGTCTGCTCTCGGAGCAGGTTGGAATGGACGTGACAACTCTCCTCGCTCTCCCCGACGAGGGCAGCCTGGGCAGGGACGAGTTGCCATCATTAAGGAAAGTCACTTCAATTAAAAAAAAGTCTCAAAAGGCTGCAGTTAAAGACGGAACACCTGGTCCTGGAAGTCAGCCTTTGTCCCACCCGCCTCCCTCAGAGGGAGGGGGCGCACAGGAGGGAGGCGTTGGCCGAGGGCAGCGGCAGGTCTGCTCCCTCCGCTGCGCCCACCGGCCCCCCCTGCAGCCCCTGCCCGGCCGGGCCCTCCCACCCCGCCCGCCCGCCCGCCCTGGCCCGGCCTCCTGTCCCCCGCGGCCGTCTGTCCTGCACTTACCCACCTGCCTTTTCGTCGGGCCGCCCCTGCCCTGCGCTGTCGAGGTGAAGCCCCTGCCGAGTGACTGTGTGGTTGCCCACAGGAACGGATCATTTTGGGAAGTAGGAATTCGAGCCCTGGCCGGGCGGCTCAGCTGGCAGAGCCCCGTCTCCTACACCAGTAGTTGCAGGTGCAGTTCCTGGTCAGGGCGCATGCGAGAGGCCCTCGGATCAATGTTTCTCTTCTCACATCTCACGTCAAGCGTTTCCTCCTCTCTGTCTCAAAAGAAAAAAAAAATCAGTAAACATTCTTGGGTGAGGCTTTTTTTAAAAAAAGTAGGAATTGGGGACATAGGTGTTCATTGATTGGAGAGGCTGCATGGGTTCCAGAACCTCGATCCACAGTGGAAAATCACGCGGGGAGAGGCGTGCACAGCCAGCAGTACAGGGTCAGAGCCGCAGCGGCCTCCGCACTCTGTCCTCGGGGACGCGCCAGGTCGCGGCCTGGGCTCGGCTTCCCGCTGCCGACTGCGGGCCACGGGGGCGTGAGCACGCACGCTCTGGCCAAGCCCGCCCGCCCCATGAGGAGGGGCCCTGGCTGCCGGGGCTGGCCGAGACCAGGCAGGGTCACCCTCGGGACCGTGTCACTGCTTGGTCTGACGCGGCCCGGAGGTGCTGTGCTGCTCCCTTCGGCCACGGAGGGGGCTCTGCGGGAATGAGGACGTCTGGTCGTCGGGCGTTGGGTTTGTTCTCCTCTGCGTTGCCGAGAGCCTGGCACGGCGCCTGCAGCTGCCTGGGGCCCCTTAGCCCAGCAGGCACCCGTCCTCCCGTGAGGGTCCATCCGGCAGCTCGGGGGACAAGGGCGCTCGGTGTTCCAGCCTGGTGGTGCCTCGCCGGCGGCACACACCAGCTGGCATCTCCTGGGTGGGGCATGTTCCCTGCCCCGGTCTTGCTGTCCTCGCTCGTCACTGGGCCTGGCCACGCCCTTGCTGCTGGGACAGGGCACGGGGCTTGCCCTTCCTGGAGGTCAGGGGCCCGGGACGCCAGCCTGGGGTGTGGCCGAAGCAGGGACAGCAGAGGTCTCCTGAGCACAGGGGCCGCGAGGCGCTCTGTTCCCCGAGTGCTCACGGGTGACAGACGCCCCCTGCCCCCCGCCGCCCCCCACAGCGAAGAGGGACTCCCTGGAAGTCCGTGTTTGCTGAGGGTACACGAGCTGGCACCGAATCTTTGTTTGCTGGGAAGTCCTGAGGCCTGTTCGTGTTCTGCCTAGTGAGAACTCTGTGTTTCTTGTCCTGCGTTTCCTGATCCACTCCTCCTGGGGCAGCAGGTTTGGAAGCACCTTAAGGTCATGCCCTCTGCCTGGCCCCAGGTCCCCTTCAGCCTCTTCCTCCTCCTCCCTCCTTCTCCTCTTCCTGCAGTTCAACCAGCACTGTCCTGCATTGCCAGGGGCACAAAGAGATGCCACCTGTTGAGAGGCGAGGGGGTGGTCCCGCGTGCGGGCAGTGGAAGCCACAGACTGAATGAGGGTCCGGAGTGTGCCTGACACAGGCCCAGGACTCCTTGGTCACCCCGAGCACCAATAAAGCTGCAGGGCGCCTGCCCCTGGTATGTGGCCCACAGGAGGTCGTGAGGTGGTCAGTGCTGAGAACCATTTGAAAGCAGTTTAGCAAGATGCTTCAAGGGTTATAATATTAATTTTGTTAGTTGTTTTCTGCTGGCCTCTCCTAAGCAATAGTCCTACTTGTAGACGACGTTTACTGATACGAGTTCCTTGTGGCGTGGCATCGAGCGGTAACAGGGAACAACCAGAGAGCGCTTCACGGCCATGACGTGGTTTTGTGAGCTCTGTCTCTCTCACCGTGTTTTCAGCCACTGAAAGTGCTGCTTGCACCTCTGTGGTAGCAGCAAACACGCAGGCCGTCCCCGCACGGAGGGACGGGTCCAGAGACGGGGTGGCCTGATTGGAGCCCCGAGGAGACAGGCTAGGTGCGCGCAGGTCTTGTGTGGGGGCGTGAATTCGGACTTTAATTTCTACATGTCTGTTTCTGAGGTCAGCTCGTTTGCGCCACCTGCAAGCCCCCCACCAGGCTGGGTCACCGAGCGGCCCTTGTCCCCTGAGCTGCCGGCTCAGGGCGGGGAGAGGTGTGCGACGGAGCAGCCTCAGCAGGACCCCGCGGCGCAGCTGGCTCCGGCCCTCTGCCGCAGCGGCTGCAGAGCCGGGCGGGGCAGAAGCGCGCTTTGGACGTGCCCTGTGGGTTCCGGAGCCCGACAGCGGCTGGGCCAGGGCGGGCTTTGTCCCCGCCGCCGCTGCGCTTGATCTAGAGTGTTCTCTCACGTAAGAACGTTGCGACTTGAGAAACGGGTCTTGTGTTGGGGGCAGTAAGCCTTCATACTGACTATGGCTGCGTGTTAAGTAGAACGCAGTTATGTAAAAACCTTGGTGGGAAGAAGGGTTCTTACTAAACAACTCCCCCCGCCACTCCCCCCGCAGCCGCCTTTCTCCGGGAGGCCCCCCGGGGGCGGCCGCCTCCGCAGCGAGAGCCCGCTGCCCCCAGCCCTCCGCGTGCCTCAGCCCAGAGCTGCCCCGGGCAGAGCGTGCCGTCACTATCCTGCGCTCTCTCCCACGCCAGGTGCCGTGGCCAGCACGGAAGTGAAGATGAAGTTGCAAGAATTTGTCCTCAATAAGAAGAAGGCGCTGGCCCACCGGAGCCTGAACCACTGCATCTCCAGTGACCCTCGCTACTGGTACGGGTAAGTGGGCCGGGCCTGGCGCACGGCCGGGACCCAGGTCAGTGGTGCCGGTTCTCCGCCTGCGGGGCGGCGGGGGGGTGTGGGATGTGGCTCCCCCACGGCACGCAGCGCACACGCTGTGGGTGACCCGCCTGGTGGTTCAGGCGCACACGGACCCCCTGCAGGGCGTGGGCCCGTCTGGCAAGGGCCGCAGGGACATGGCAGGACCATGCTGCCTGCCCATCCTTGCTCTTCTCCCTCCGTTGAGGCCACAGCGGAGCCACTCCTGGGACTCTGGTCCCAGGTGTCCACGCGCTTTCTGAACTCCCCGCGTCGCGTCGACTCCTAGCGCTGCCAGCAAGCCAGGCAAAGGGCCCCCTCCCAGGGCCCGCGTCGCGGCAGGTGCCCCCGGAGCTTGGTTTGCGCTGAGAGCAGACGGACCCAAGTGCAGGGGCGCAGCTGGTGCGGCCCAGGCCGGGGTAGGAGGGCGCGGCGAGCTTATGGCTGTGCACGCTGACTGGGGTGTCTCGCGGACGCTTGTCGGTTTTCTGCTGCTCCAGGGCGATTTCATTTCCAGAGGAAGCCTGTAGGTGGGTTTTATAAATCAAAGTGTGGTGGCCATTATGTTTTGTTGGGAGACGTTGGAGCTGCCGTCAAGCCCCCGAGTCCTCAAGCCCGGATCCCACTGAGGCGGCCCATTTGTTTCCCTGAACGATGGTATCAGTTATCACAAGACAGCCATAGGCATTTGGTCCCGAGGCCCTTTCCTGCTCCCCTGAGCTCCCCGTAGCTGCTGCTCGTCACTGGGACACTAGGCAGCGCTCACCCTGCGACCTGCCGGTGGCACGGGCGTGCGGCGGGAAGGCCGGGGGGCGCGCAACGTGGTAAGAGGGCCTGAGCCCCGAGCCGCCTGTGGCAGGGAGGCTTTGTCAGAAGTGCTGGCGCAGCGTCCTCAGGGACCCCACGTTTGAGCGGCACCAGTCCAATCCGTGGTCTCCCCGCTGGTGACAGCCACGGGATTCTGTCGTGGGAGAGCCCCACTGTCCCCAGGCAGGGCGGCCTGGCACACACAGGGCAGCAGCGGCGTCCACAGGGCAGAGCCGAGGGCGGCAGGAAGAGAAGCCGGGCGGGCTGGTCTCAGGGACCAGGAAGCGCAGAGGACTCGGGACCACGGACCTGCCAGGGCAGCCGCGGGAGGGGGCTGGCCCAGCTCAGGACCTGGGGGGCAGCGACCAGCGGGCGGTGAGGCCCAGAACCCTCCGAAAGAGGAGCAGCGTCGGGGAGGCCGGTGGGGCGGGCTGGCCGGACGGGCTGTGCGGCTGGTGGTGGGAGGGCCCCAGGTGGGGAGAGTGTGTCCCTTGCAGCCCTGGTGGCTGCGTGGAAGGGGTGGCCGTGGGACGGGTGCCGTGAGGAGCGACACAGCTTCTGGGGAGGAGGGTCCATGAGGCGCGGCTGGGAGCAGGAGAGGAGGCGCTTCAGGGGTTGGGGGCTGGGCTGGAGGGGACAGGCCGCTGGCCTTCCCTTTGTGTCGGCCAGGCTTTTGGCAGCTCACTTCTTTGGCCACGCTGAGCCAGCGTCATGGGTCAGCCTGGCACGTTCGCTGGCTGTATGACGAAAGAAGCGTTAGGAAACGGGTTCAGGGGGAGAGAACCAGACCTCGGCCCTCGCGTCGCACCGCCCACGATGGGTGCTGGTGCCTTGGCCTGGCCGTAAGCGTGGGACCCACGGCGCTTCCTGATGGAGACACAGGAGGGTGCCCTCGCGGCCTCAGGAGGCAGTGGCCAGAGGTGCTCGGGCCCCAGGACCGCCGGCTGCTCACCGGATACGTACACGGCTTGGCTCGGTCAGAGCCACCACACCGGCTCTTTGAAGGGTGTCGTCGCTGGGACAGACAAGTCGCAGACCAGGAGGGAGACGTGCACCAGGCGCGTCCCCGGTGGCACTTGTATCCGTGGCTTCCGGCCCCGCAGGCGCAGGGTCAGGGGCTGATGCCGTGTGTGCGCAGCCCCAGGGCCCGCACGACCGAGCCGGAGCGACCGAGGGATGGGGCCGAGGGGACGTCCTGCGCAGGCGACACCGTGTCGCTCCCGGAGCGTGGCTCCGTGGTGCATGTGTGGCTCGGGACACCCATCGTTGAACTTGGTGTACAGGCTTCACCGGCCACTGCAGCTGCCCCATGCCGCCCGCGGCTCTGAGTGTTGGGATGTGGCTGCTCTGAACTGAGACAGGCTGTCAGCTCTGGCACCAGCTACAGGGCCTCTGCCTGAAACAGTTGTTTTCAGTGACAGTCTTTAGGCCAACTTCACATCGAAAGGGCGTTTTGGATTTATCGGGGTAAAGGGTAAAGCTGAAGTTAATGCCGCATTTCACTTCCCGTTAATGTGGCTGCTCCGTAACGGGAAATGGCACAGGTGGCCGCTACGTTTTCGCTGGACATGCTGGTGCAGGCAGTTCTGAGCTCCACCCGTTTAAGCCACTCGCGAAACCCTCACGGGAAAGGCCAGCTGCTGGCGAACCTAGTGGTTGAATTTGTGCTTAGTGTGTGGCAATCACAGCGACGCTCAGGAAGGAACCAGTGCAGTGTTGGCTTCTCCGTCTTCGTCAGTGGGGATGGTCATCGCGAAGCGTCCCCTTCAGCCTGCCAGCCTCTGGCTTCCTCATCGCAGCGGCACACGGAGGCTGGAAACTGGGAAGGTGATTGCCGGTCGAGGCTGAGGTGCACAGAGGTGCAGCCGGCAGGTTCCGCCCAGTTACCAGGGTGTGTCCGTGGGAGGGGGGTGCGTCACCACGTGTGACTCTGGGGTCGTGGCATGGGGGTGCGCATGCAGCAGGGACTCCCTGGGGGGGGTCAGGGCTGCGCTCCCCAACAGTGCAGCGGCCTGCGTTCCCCGAGGGGCCTCTCTATGGCCTTGGGAGGCGCCTGCACCCTTTCTCAGACTGCAGGGCCGGCGGTGGGGGCTAGAGCCTCTCCAACGTCTAGGCTCACGGGGCGGCACCGGCTGGGTTACCCCAGCACCTGCTCCTGGGGCCCAGCGGAACTGCCCGGCCCGGACTTGGGGCCAGGGACACAGGCTGAGTCCCCACTGGGTGGCTCCTGGAGCACCTCGTTGTAAGGCTGGACCAGAAGGGGAGGGCTCCAGCCACGCAGTCCTCGCTCAGTGTCTCTCCCCACCGCCGCCGGTGTCGTGGTGATGGTGAAGGCAAGACCCTCCGCCAGCAGAAAGGTTGCGACTTGGTGTGTGGCGGTGGGCTGGGCCCGCGCCCGCAGGGTCTCTGAGGGCTGCCTGTGCTGGCGGCAGCTCCGGAGCACCGAGCGGGGGAGGGCTGTCGGGGGTGAATGTGAGTGGCTTCTCCAGCCTCCCCAGCTTTCTGGCTGAATCATCAACAAGTTGCTGTTACAGCGTATTAACAACAGTGACCTGTGTCCACGTTCTATTAGTAATTGGTGCTTTTAAATCTCATAAGACACATGGGTTTTTTGGGCTCCCTGTGAAGGAGAAAGTGAAGTCTTGTCACTAGGTGCTGAAGGGAGGTCCGTGCTCTCTGGGGCCGTGAGGCTGGGTGTGGCAGAGAACTGGCTGGGGGGGGGGGCAGGGGGAGGTCTCTGGGGCGAGGCCTGCGGGTCCTGCCTAGCACAGCTGCAGGGAACCAGGCGGGCTTCCTGCCCGTGGCCCCCTGCTTCAGCCTGAGCTGCAGTCCTGGGCGCACGTGGTCCCTGGGGACGCGAGCGGCTGACAGGTCGTGTGCCTGTGGGGCGGGGTGGCGGGCAGCCTGGCCGGGCTGTGCCCGTCGGTTGGCTGGGGCCCGTGAGCAGCACTTCGTCTGCGCCTGTCTGCTCCCCAGCGCTCAGCGGCCCGCCTGTAAGCGCTTAGGGGCCCGGGTTCCCCATGCAGATAACGCCTGGTACACGGACTCCCGGGGGCGCTGTGTGTTCAAATAGAGAGTCTGACAAACACCAGATACGTTGGCAAATTGTGCGCAGTGAGCAAGGAGATTGCAGCTGGAATTTCCCAGTGTTCCTTCTGCCTCCAGAACTCCCAAGGGCCTAAGCCGGCTGTCCCAGCAGCACAGTTTGCTGGGGGTCATCTGAAGCCACCAGCACCCGCCACCCTCCCTGCCCCCCCAGCTGGTGGAAGGGCTCTGAACCCTGCCTGGCTGACTGCCAAAGAAGCACCTTCACAGACCAGCTCCCAGGCAGCTGGCCCCTCCCCGTGGGCGGGGGTGGGGGAGCGCCCGCGGGAGAGTCCGCTCCATGGAAGGCAGGACCCAGGCTGCAGGGTCTCCGCTGCAGGGAGGTACCCGGAGGCCCCTCCCCTCCAGGGCCCAGGCGCTACCAGGGGTCACCTGCAGCCCCTCCCAAGGGCCACCCCCAAGGCACAGCTTTGGTTCCTCCCCTCTGGAGCCCACGTGTCTGCTTCTGGCCTGTGTGCCCCAGGACAGGCCCCACCTGACAGCAGAGGTGCAGCCACACCTGTCTGCCCCGGAGGCCTCCGCTGGGCTGGGGCTCGTGGGTCACGGGGGACCAATCAGGGGCTCGGGTGCTGGCCTGGCTTGTTCTGGGGAGCCAGGCCTCACCGTGGGCCTGTCGTCACTGCGCTGTGTCTTCACGTGTCCTTCCCAGGAAAACGCAGCACAGCTCCCTGGACCAGAGCTCCCCACCCCAGGGCGGGGCGTCGGCCTCCTACAACCACCCGGTGCTGGGCATGTACGACGCCAAAGATGACTTCCCGCTGAGAAAAACAGGTCAGTGTCTGGGCCTGCGGGGGTGGGCTGGACCCTTTTCCACACCGCACTCCCGGGGGCCCTTGCTCGTGGTAAATGTGTGCTTTTTTTCTTTGCTCACTGTTCTAAGTGACACTCTTACGCATGCCTGTGTGATTCATATCAAAAGCCACAAACCTTACGGGCGCAAACTTGCTTTTTAAGGGTCAAGCCCAATGGTAACACGCAGACTCACGCTTCTCCCCGCGGCGTGCTGCGCTCTCCCCCAGCCTGGTTTCCCCAGTGGGGGTGGGGACACAGCGGCCTCTCCAGCCGGCCTGGGGTCTTTCATCGCTAGCCCTCGGTGCCGGCTGTGGCTGGACCCTGGGCAGGGCAGCTGTGCGGGAGGGAGCTCGGCGTCCTGCGGGGACGGGGACGCTGCAGGGGCCCGATGGCACTTCTGTCACCCACTGGGAGAGGAGGGTGCCTCCCAGAAGGCCAGTCGCCTGACCTCGCCCAGCGTTGATGGATGTAGCGGGCAGTGGCGGTTGAGAAGGCAAGAGTGGCTGCGGCCGTGCGCAGCGGAGGAAGGGCAGGGCCGGGGCGGGAAGGCCACCCCCAGCTTCGTCCCGGGAGGCGAGGGCCTGAGTGCGGGAAGCCCAGGGCCACAGGGCCATGTGGGGACACCCTGCATAAGGGAATCCGTGCGCGCACAGCTTTGTCTTCGCGAGCACAGGTGCTGCACGGCCCAAAGGGTTTGGGCCGATTCGGGGCAGCAGTGCTGTGGAGCAGCCTCGCCCAGTCCCTTCTCCCCAGAGCTGCGGCCGTGGCAGCTCGTGCCCAACGTCAACCAAGACCTCAGAGGAAACACGGACGCCTCGTGCAGCAGCGGAGTGCAGGGTGGTGCCCTGTGTGCCCTAGAAGTGTCTTTTCATGCACTCAGTGTCGCCTGGTCTAGGTCACTTAGGTTGCATTTCTGCTAGAATTGGTCCTAGGAAACTCGTGAAACAAAATGTTCGTTCACAGAACGTCTTGGATGAGTTAAAGTGACCGCTTTTGATGCGCGTCCTGCACCTCAGTGACCCCGTGGTTTTCTTTCTTCTGTGGGCCCTGCACCCAGTGCGCCCACTTGTCAGAGCGCGGGGCAGCCCCCCACCCCCGCTCTGCACGTGCCTCCTGCTCCCGCTGCTGGCGCCTGGCGGCCTCTGGGGTGGCCCGTGCCCCGCCATCCCGTCCCACGAGTAAAGCTCGCTCATGTGTCCAGGTGTTGGCGCGCTCGGGGTCGGGGCGCCCTGCCTGTGCCCCTCCGCCGGGATGGTTCTTCACCTACTGCCTCCTGACCAGGGAGCTCGCAGTCCCCGCGCCCCCCTCAGTTTGCTGCTCAGGTTCTGCTTTTGTTTTCTGGAGCTTTAGGAGGCCCTTGACCTTTCTCAGCCAGCGTCCCATCCTGGCCACCCCCAGCCCTTCCCTCAGTGCCACACGTTGTCCAGACACCTGGGGGACCGCCAGGCCCCCCGGGGAAGACCTCACAGGAGCAGGCGCCCGCATTTGCAGCCAGAGCCTGGGCCCGCGGGGCGGGCCTCGCGCTGCAGGGTTGGCACGCATCTTCACACCAGAGCAACCCCTCCCGAAGCAGCCGCGTGACACCACCCAGGGCCGGGGCCTGGCTCCACTTCCTGGGGGAGTCGCTGCTCCGTTCTGGCGACGTGACAGTGGGGCGCCCTCCGCCCGCGCCCCCCCCCCCGGAGTGCAGAGGGGTCGCTCTAGGCAAGGGCATAGCCCAGGCAAGGTGGCGCCGCTGTCATCGGGCCTTCCGGGCGGGGCCTCAGGGGCTGCCCTGACCCGCGACTCAGCCTCCCCACGCCCGGCACCGACAGGCGTCCTGGAAGCGTCACCATCCCCGGTCCCGGCCTGCGACTGATCCTTCCCGCACTCGGGTGGCAGGCGGCCTCACTCAGACACGGGCTGCGCGCAGCCCCGGGCTCCACGTGTGGCGTGACCAAGATGCTACTGCAGAAAAGCGAAAGGGGCCTGCCCTTCTGCAGTGGCATCTTGGTCGTCGTGTTCTCAGGAACCAGGAAGACGTCCCATCGTCGTCCCCCCGAACCCCTCTTCCCACTGGGTCGGCGTCCTCAGCTCGGAGGGGGCCCTGCGTGGAGCCAGCATGGCAGCTGCATGGACACCGGGTCCTGTCCCTAGCAGGGCACCAGCTGGCAGGCAGGGGCACAGCTCAACCCCTGGGAACGCGCATTGTGCAGAGCCGACCCTTGGCCGATGCGGGGCGCAGGGTCGCACTCTCGGCCTCATTGAGGAGGGTTGCCCTGAGGGAGGTCGGGCTGCACAGCGACCCTGAGCTCCCCGTGGCCCCTGTGCACAACGGCCCGGTCGTGGGCCCAGGATGCTTGGGGGCCGGCCTGGCTCCTCTTCCGCATGCGGGCTCCTGCCCTCCCTCCCTCCCTTCCTTCCCCAGCTCTGCCCCTGCCCACACGGGTGGCCCGTGTGCACGGTTGTTCACGGGACGTGTCGGCCGCCGGCTGAAATGGAAACACACCAGGTGTCCCTCTGTCAGTGGGGAAGCTGCTGGGCTGGGCGAGGTAGGGCCGCCACAGGTGTGCGCGCCTGTCCGTCTCTGAGGCGAGGCAGCGGTGCTCTTAAACCCGGGCAGGAGTGTGCTCAGGAGGCTTCGGAAAAGGCTGTGTGGTGCTTTTTCCAAAGAAGCTCCTGGAGAGGACGAGAGGGGTTAAACCCCAGGCAGCCTGGACACGGGGGAAGTAGCCCACACGTTGTTTTTGTGTCCGACACCCATCGGACTTGAACTCCTTCCCGACGGGAAGAGGAGGACCCAGAGAGGTCTGGAGCCGGTCCTGTTCAAAGCCATGACCGCCTGCTCAGTGTGAAAGCTGCCCTGAGCCTGAGGCAGTAGAAGGGGCAGAGGGTCCAGACGAGCCACCCCTGGGGCGTCTCGTAAGCACGTCTTCCTCTGCCAGAGACTCCCGTGCACAGGAGCCCCACGTGCCAGTGCCCCTTCCCAGAGGCGGCCGCCGCTGCAGTGCGGCATCCGGAAGACGTTTCTGAGCCTGTGCGGTGTGGGCAGGGGGTGCAGTGGTGGGCAGCTGTCTTTTTGTTCACAGAAATGCCTGCCTTGCGTTTTGCACTGCAATTCATTTTTCAGTTAACGTTGCACTGTAGGCGCTATTCCGTGGAAGCGTTACGTAAAGACTGGCGTGGAAGGCTGTAGGGTGGGTGCGACATGAAGCGTGACTTCTCTGGTGCCCTTGGTCGGCAGCTGTGGGTGCCCTCACTCCATAGGCCACTGTTTCTGTGGGTGGGTTCTTGCAGGGGGCGCTGGCTGTCCCCGGGCGGGCGTGCGGGCAGGGTCCACGGAGGGCGGTCCCGCGGTCGTCATCTCTGGGGCTCGGAGGGGCGGGGCCTCGGCTGCAGCCAGACCAGCAGAAGAGATGCCAGCCAGGAACTGGTCCGGGGCCTGCCGCGCGGCCCCTCCTCAGTCCTACACGCGGCGGCTCCCCGGGGGTCTGGGCCCGGGCCCCTGCTGTGCGGCTGCCACCTGGCACAGGCGTCGAATGCGCTGGATTTGGGCCTTGTCTCCGTTCCGCACGGGCCTGCGGGTCAGGGGAGGCCCACCCGGTGGGCTTGTGCCGGGGGCCGGGGAGCTCTGCGAGCGGTTGCCCCAGGGAGGGGAGCACCGCTGTGGCCCCCGAACCAGACAGGCTGGACGGCGCCTTCAGGTCTTGCAGTTTCATGGTCAAGTGTCGGGGGATGGGAGGGGAACCAGAAGAAGAGAAACGGGTGATTTCAGTAGTGAAGTGCTGCTGCGTGGGAAATAGGGTGGCCTGGGGGGTAGAGGGCCAGGGCCGCCCGCTAGGGCCGGGCTGACTTTCCAAGGGGCCAGGGCCGCCCCGGGGGCTCAGAAGCCGTGTCTGCTCGCAGTGCCTGTCCCCAGGTCGGGTGGGCCCGTGGACACCGGGGCGCAGGGGCCTACGTTTGGTGGTGGGCGGAGAGCGGGCCCCTCCCCTGCCACAGAGAGGGGAGGAACTCCACGTAAACACAAGCGAGTGACTCGCACGCATCTGCATCCCGTCAGGCTGGGGTGCTGCCGCCCCTGGAGGGGGCCCTTCTGTCATCGCGGCCCTTGCCTCTTCATCACGCAAGGTCCCACCAGGGTAGTAGCAGCGTCTGGAGAGGCTGGCGCCGAGGAGCACAGCCAGTCGCTCCGAAAGGTTGACTTGGGCCCTACTCCGCCCCCCGCCTCGCCTGCAGCCTCCTCGGGGTCACGACCTGCCCGCCCTGTGCCCTGTGCTCCCCAAAGGGCGGCCCCAGTGGCCATGAGATGCTCGCACGGCCTGGTCCCCAAACCCCGATTCCGGGGGACGCCGACTGTGTCGCCGGCTGCCCCAGAGAGCAGCGGGCTGCTCCGGGATGACTGAGAGCAGCAGGGTTGCTGGCGAACAGCAAACAGAGACGCATGAACTCGGCACAGGCACATCCCCGAGCAGCAGCCTGGAGGCAGTGGAGTGAGACCTCCCAGGCGAGATCGGCCACGGTGTCTTCCCAAATCTTTTCCCGCCTCCAGAGAGATCGGTCTGGGGGTGGCTTGGGCTCAAGGCGCAGAGGACTGGGGAAGCACTGTGGGCTCAGAGTCGCAGGTTTACAAATGGTTCTCGCTACGGGTGGAGCCGTTAACCACCACCAAACCACAGCGAACACCTGGGCCCTGTGGTCAGGTGGCCGCCCCGAGACGGGTGCTCACCTGCGCCTGGGCGTCGGCGCCAGCTTGGCGAGCTCCCCTCACAGCGGGCCGGTTGTTCACAGAGAACGCCAGAGCTCGGGGGCAGTGTACTTCTGGGCCGTGGTGCGTGGCGGGGGCCAGGAGAGTGGGGTGCGAATCCACAGCGCCCGTGGGCGGAGCCCTGGGATCGCCTCTGCTCCGTCTGCGGCTAAAGCGCACGGACAGCGCACTCATAACCGTGTGCCTGAGGAAGCGCAGCCGGAGGCACCCGCCGTGTCTAGTTCACTGTGTGCGACAGAACCTGCCTGCCCACAGGCCTCAGGGCCCGCGCCCGCGCCCGGAAGCGCACGCTGACCGGAGCGCATGGTTTTAGACCCCACAAGGCCGCCCGGCAGGTGTGCCCGGCTGTGACGGCGCCTCCCTCTCCTGCAGCTTCGGAGCCAAACCTGAAGTTGCGGTCCCGGCTAAAGCAGAAAGTGGCCGAGAGGCGGAGCAGCCCCCTCCTGCGCAGGAAAGATGGGCCTGTGGTGACCGCGCTCAAAAAGCGTCCCTTGGATGTCACAGGTATGTTGGAGGAGAGGTCAGAGCCACTGCCCACCCGCCCTGCGGGCCCCGCAACTGCATGCTCGTTCCCACGGCGTGAGCAGTGCACGATCCCAAGAACGCCCCCCCCCCCCCCCCGCATGGCCCTCGGGTCCCGGGCCAACAGCAGGAGCTCCCGTCGGGGCTGCTCTGAGTGGGCTGTCCCCAGTCCTGCCCCGGCAGCGGGCGGTCACGTGTCTGGTCAGCTGCGGTGTCAGCCGCAGGAGCATTGACGTTTCCCTGGCCAGGGGCTGCACGCGGCCCCCGAGACTGGGAGCTCAGGCTGGCACTGCCTGCCCGTGCACGTTGCTCTCGGCCCCCACCTAGTGGCGGGCACGCAGAACATGCCTGCTGGACAGAGCCCCTTCCCAAGGAGCTCCCCCTTCACTGGCATGCACCCCAAGTCTCCAGGTGCACCCCTCCCAAGGGTACATCCCCTCCCCTGAGATGTTTCCCACCCTGCTCCCAGCCACACCTCATCCTGAGGGTGCCACAGCTTCCTGGGGGTGCAGTGGGTCATGAGTGTGCACTTCTGTGCCCCCAAAAGCCCCACCTTCCGTGGATGGATGGGTGCCCAGTGCCCCACCCCAACTGCGCTTGAGGGCCCGAGGCCCACCCCTCCATACCTGTGAACTGGTGTAAAAAGATGTCCGGGGACCCCGTTTTTGTCACCATCCTCGTTCTTCAGGGTAGGGCCTGCCCTGTGGTGGTTGTAACGTAGAGCGGCCTCCGCTGAGGAGATGCAGTGTCGTCAGCAGGGCCCCAGGTCCCACGAGCCGGCGCCATGTGAGTCAGGGCAGCCCCTGTGTCGCGGCACTTGGCTGCCCAGGGCCGGCGCTGAGGGGCAGGCGAGCCCTGGCGTTTATTTCCAGTCGTGCCGTTGCGGAGACGGAGTTGTCCCAGGCCCTTTCCGCATGTCAGAGCTCGTGTCGCGGTGTCCGCTGTGCAGGGCCGGGCGGGGCTCGGGCGGCACAAGGGCTGCTCTCCCGAGCTTTGCTCTCGGTTGAGGAGCCGCGCCATCACTGAGATAGGCACAGCACCTGTGGGCGCCGAGTCCTGCTCCAGAGAGCGCCCGCCTGAAGGGGGCCGGGGGCGGGGCCCGCTCTGTGGGGCCAGGAGGAGCTGGAGCGACAGGTGCAGGGGTCAGACCCGAGGGACACGGGGCTGGGGCAGCGCGGGCCCAGCGGCCGGAGGGGGCAGTGCCCTGTGCAGAGCTGACTCTCCAGCCGGGAGGAAATGGAGGCGTTCTAGGAAGGCAGTGCCCCAGAGCCTGGCCCAGCCTCCCCTGGGAACTGGCGCGGGGGGGGGGGGGGCGCGGTGTCGCTGCCTGGCGCTGTTCGGGGGCCATGGCCGCATTCTCTCCCGCCGGGGCTCCTGTGCGTCCGCAGGCTGGCAGATCGGCCTGTCATCAGGCGTGAGCCCGTCCTCCCCCGGGGCCTGGGCCGGGACGCCTGGCGACGCCTGTCTCTCGCCCGCAGACTCGGCCTGCAGCAGCGCCCCGGGCTCTGCACCCAGCTCGCCCAACAACAGCTCGGGGAGCGTCAGCGCGGAGAATGGGATCGCACCTGCCACCGTCCCCAGCCTCCCAGCCGAGGTCAGTGCCCTGCCTTCCGGTCGCCCGTGTCCTGCCGGCCCTTCTGGTGTGGCTACGGCTCACAGTTGCCTTTCAGTCTGTCACCCAGGTCATGGGAGAGAGGCTGAGATCCAGGGTGCCTTGCATGGGGCTCCCAGGGTTCTGCTGATCACTCCACTCTTTGGTTATCTTCTAAAGGTCTTATTTATTTATGTTTAGAGAGGGGAAGGCGCAGAGAGGGCGAGAAACGGCCGCCCACCACCGCCACCCTCTTCGTCCTGTGCACAGGGGCTCAGTGCACGTCGGCTGAGCGTCTGCAGTGCAGAGGGTGTGCTGGTGAGAAAAGCAGCCGTTTTTATCGAAGAACACTTATTCTAGAAGCAAAAGATGGTCAGCATGTCAGCACTTCAGCCCCTTAGAGACTGCTGACCACTCGCCCCTTTCTCGGACCCCGTGAGCCTCGCTTGGGCCGAGCCCCTATGTAGTTTTAAGTCCATTTGTTAAAAGGTGCAACATTCGATCACTTGTTTTTCTAACTGGCAACACGTCTTAAAGAAGGTTGCAAATAATCGCAGGCTTCTCTTTGCTCTCCGGGTGTCCGCGTGTCAACGAGCTCCATTCGTAACTGTTGCCTGGCCCGTGAGCTCTGTGTATGTGAACCTGTGTCCTGTGCTCGCTGTTCTTTGCCTTTTGCGTGAGGGTTTTACCATCGCCCTTACCCTCTTTGGTTTCTGTCTCTGATGTTTGGAGAGACATTCCTGGCTCCATGCATGTATTTTAAAATACATTGTGCTTAGCCCTCTCTTGGTAGTTTTACCACGAGTAAGGAACTGGGATAAAAATGAGAGTTGGATTGTGAATCCACGTTCTCACACGTGCCCCCCACTTTACGATGGGGGGCTCACCTACGTACTATTTTTAGTCTGCTGATGTGTCCCCACACGGCGGCCTCTGGTGCGTGGCCCAGGGTGCCCCCCTCCGTGGCTGCCGGCGCAGACCAGCGTGACGGCCCTTCTGTGCTCTGTCCCCAGACCAGCCTGGCGCACAGACTGGTGGCTCGAGAAGGCTCCGTGGCCCCGCTCCCCCTCTACACGTCGCCATCCCTGCCCAACATCACGCTGGGACTTCCTGCCACCGGCCCTTCCGCGGTAAGCAGGCCTCCCAGGGGCCGCGGGCGCGGGACGCCCGGCGCGGGGCCGCGGCCCCGGACATCACTGGCTGTGCCTCTGCAGGGGGCGGCGGGCCCGCAGGACGCCGAGAGGCTGGCCCTCCCAGCCTTGCAGCAGCGGCTCGCCCTCTTCCCCGGCGCCCACCTCGCGCCCTACCTGAGCACGGCGCCCCTGGAGCGGGACGGCGGGGCAGCGCACAGCCCGCTCCTGCCGCACGTGGTCCTGCTGGAGCAGCCGCCCGCGCAGACGCCGCTCGTCACAGGTGAGCGCCGCACAGGCCCAGGCCCCGCCTGCCTTTGCCGAGCTGCCCCTCCCACGTCTGGGCGGGAGATGTGACACACAGTGGCCCACTCAGAGCTGGGGGACAACACGTCAGTTACACACCTGACCTTTCTCCAGGGCTCTGGGGGAGGCGGCGGGTCCTCCGAGGGCATCTCTGTCTGGGTCAAGCTGAGCACGTGACAGCAGCTCAGACCTGACTCAGCCAGACAGCCAGCACCTGCCGGCGGTGACCACGATGAAACCTGTGCCCCCCAGAGGGTGGTTGTGTTTAGCAGCACGGGACACCTTAGGTGGCGCTGGCGTGGCTGGGGTGCTGCACCACGTCACTGGGAACCCTTGCCCCGGGGTCGCCTTCCACACCGGGGCACCGTCCACAGCGCCAGGCTGGGTATCTGGACGCTCTGCCCAGGACTAGAGCCAGCAGCAGCCTCTGTCCGAGCGGGTCCTCTAAGAGCGCGGCCTCGCCCCAGTGGGCCTGCGGTGCCTCGGGTGGCGTCCCGGGCGTGGCACGCGCGGCTCTAGACTCACGGGTGTGGTTGCACTTTCTTGTTTGTGCTTGTTTGTCTCTCTCAAGCCCTTGGCTCCTCAGGGTCCCCGGCTGGCCCGGGTTCAGGCCGTGTCCCTACAGGACCCCGTGGGAAGACGCCTCCAACGGCCTTCCCACCTTTCCATCCTGTCCTCGGGCTGCCACCAGGGTCCCCTCGAGGCTTGGGAAGTCCCCCCATCATCCCGCTCAGTGCCATCCAGTACGGGAGCACCCGCCACACGTGGCCGCTAACGTTGTCAGTCTCACGTGAGGCACGGAGTGCTCGCGTGGCTGCCAGCGTGGAGCAGGGTGACCGGCGTGGACGCAGGCTGCCCGGGCCTCCCAGCCCTGTTCCCACCCAGCCAAGTGTCCGCCAGGTGCTTCCTTCACTCCGCACCAGCGGGCCCTTGAGGGCATTCTGGAAGCCCCTTCCCTTTCCCCAAAGCTCTTCTCTCAGGCCAGCTCCCAGGCCCCGTGTCCCCACCCCTCTGCTCCTGTGGGCTCTGCCCACGCCTGCGGCAGCTCACTATGCAGCCGCTTCTGTGGACCCTCCGTCTGTCCTGCCTGGCTGCCCCTCCTGGAGCCCAGGCCCTGTCACTCCGTCTGGTCACACGCAGGGCGGCCAAGAGCTGGCGAGCTCAGTCCACTTGTCGTTTCTCCTGGTCGGACACCCTTGACCCAGGATCATTTTCAGCCAGGTCGATGTTTAGTGTTTGTTTACCTCAGGTCGCCAGGGGGCTATGCTCCGGTAGCAGGGGAAGCGGTGTGTTAGCTCCTTGGGCCACGAGGCCTTGGGAAGGTGGTGACGGGCCCGAGCAGCAGTTTGCCAGAGAAAACCAGGTAGATGACGAGCCTGCAGGAGAGACGTCCAGCCGCCGGGGCTCACGGGAGAGGCGGTGATGGCGCACGCGGCGCCGATGCAGATGCAAATGCAGGCGGGTGCGGTGATGGCTGCAGCGCACCATCCCCAGGCCAGGGTGGGGCGGCTGCTGTCCTCTACGGCTGGCGGGCTTCTGAGTGGGCACAGCCTTTGTAGAAATTTGTGGAAAGAGATTTTGGCAGTATCTGTCAGGAATTTTTAAAGTGTGAACGCTCTTTGTGCGTGAAATCAGTGCTTTAAGAGACCCTCAAAAGAATTCAACGCCTGAGGACAGTGTACTGTCCCTGCACTTAGTTTCCGCGACAGGCAAGGCCAGCTGTGCTGCCACTGTGCTCGCCCACAGAGCCGTTCAGCTCTGAGCCTCTGAGGGGCCTGAGGCCACTGTCCGTCGGGCAAGGCGAGCCACAGAGAACGTCTGCCGATGGCAGTGACCCTGGTGCCAGAGACCGCGGCCTCCGAGGGACAGCTCGGGGCGCTGCCGTGGGCTCGGGGAGGAGGCGCCTGGGCTGGTGGCTGCAGCTCACGGTGTCTCCGTCCGCCACTCAACAGCCCTCTCCCTCCTCTCTTCTTCCTCTTCCCTCCTGCTGTTCCCTCCGTGTTATCTTCAGACTGGTATCTTTCAGGCCTGGGCGCGCTGCCCCTGCACGCACAGTCCCTGGTCGGTGCGGACCGGGTATCCCCCTCCGTGCACAAGCTGCGGCATCACCGCCCGCTGGGGCGCACGCAGTCGGCCCCGCTGCCCCAGAGCGCGCAGGCCCTGCAGCACCTGGTCATCCAGCAGCAGCACCAGCAGTTCCTGGAGAAACACAAGCAGCAGTTCCAGCAGCAGCAGCTGCACATGAACAAGGTGGGTCTGTGAGGCGCCGGGGCTCTCGGGGTCGGGGCCCGTGCGCTGCTGGGCTCGGAGGCTGGTGCGGTGGCCGCCCCCCGCGTCCCTGGTCAGCGCTGTGCACAGGGGGCGTCCGTGTAGCTCTGCGGGGAACTGCACTCAGCCGACACTGTTTTCTTGAGTTCCTTGAGCGTATTTGTGTTCCCTAAGCAAACTCAGAACAGGAAGCCCCTGACTTGACAGTGGCCTGGAGCCCCCAAAACTGCGTTTCAAGTCCCTCGGCACTTGGCGTGTGCTTGGACGCGGGCCTGACATCCTTGGAGGGTCACGCACGGCCGCTGGCGGTGGGGAGTGGTAGGAGAGAGGAGTGTAAACCGGGGAAGCAGCGTCCCTGGGCGCCTTTTCTCAAACGCCGGCCTCTGAAGTAAGCGTCTCTAATGCGAGAGCCGGGGGGTGAGTCTGGGGAAGGCCATCCAGCGTCTGCTCACAAAGTGCACGAACAGCGGCCACAGGACCAGCAGCTCCACGGCGCAGGGCATTGGCCGTGCACACCGCGTGGAGACCGGCACATCAGCAGCAGCGGGCCCGGCAGGCCACCGAGCGCCGATCGTGAAGCACTGTCACTCACAACATGCAGACGAGTCCCGGAAACAGCAGCGCGTGGGGGCAGCCAGGGAGGATGGCCACAGGCAGTGTGCGGCCGCACATGTGAAGTGTCCAGCGCAGGCGAGGAGATGGGGTCGCTGGGGCGTGAGGCCGGCGTTCCTTCCTGAGACAACGGAGCTGAGTGAGGAGGCGCACGGCCAGCCCCACGCAAGCCGCTTGCGAACCACGTAGCTGGGAATTGTGGCTCCGGTGGCACATCAGTTGCATGTCTCTCAGGAAAGCTGCTCAGAAAGAAGAAGACACGGTGGGAGGAGGCGGTTTTGGTGGCTTCTCAGGGGAGCTCGGGCAGGTTGGGGACGGGCAAGCTCACCCGTTGCGTCTCCTCTTCTGGGCCCCAGGCACCGGCCCTGGGCTGGTCGTACAGGGAGGCCCCCTGCCTCCCCCGCCCCCACTCTGACCCCGAGGAAGGAGGGGGCCGGGGTGGGGCGGCCTCAGTTGCGCCCAAGTGTGAAGAGGGGACGTGAGGGGGAGCCCTCCCTTCAGGGGCCGAGGCCTGAGCGCAGCCAGCCAGCCCCGCGCCTCGCGCACCCTGCCCTTGGCTCCTTGAGTCTTGGCCCGAAGGTCGCTGGGGATGTGTCCTCACACTGCCCTGTCGCCTTGGCCACCCTCTTGTCTGCAGTGACTGCGCCCACCCCTCACGTCTGGTGTTCACGTCGACTTCCTGCTGACATGTCAGCCCACGAGGATGGGGCCTGTGCTGCCCCCTGGTGGACCCAGGAGCCTGGCATGGCGCTGGCTGATGGCGGGGCTGTTGCGATGGTTTTGTTAGTGTCACTTGTTGAATGAAGTGACAGTGTGTCTTCCTGGGGCTGCTCCTCCCCTGAGCCCCACTCGGCCCCCTGAGGGGTCCGCAGGCTTCGGTTTCATGCACATCCAGGCGGCCGGCTGCCCCGAGCAGCTTCCTTTGGCCACGGCAGCCGCGCAGCCCCCATCCACCCGTGCTGTCCCTGGGACAGTGTCGCGGACCTTTGCTCCTGAGGGGGCAGCGCCCGGGCCACCCCCCCCCCCGCCCAGCCCTTGGCAGGGGCCTCTCCCTGCCAGACTGCAGGGAGCGCTTGGCACGGCCAGCCCTGAGCCCGGCCCCGAGGGGACGGGAGAGTGAGTCGCGCACGGCGGTGGGCGCGCCACACCGCGTCTGCTCCCCCGCTGTCCCTCGTCCTGGGCTTCCCCCTTCGTTTGCCAGCTCGGCTCTGCGTTTCGCTGGGGTGTCGTTCAGGCAGGGGTAGGAGGCTCAGAGGGTGGCGAGCGCCTGTTCACGGGGGACGTGTCCTGGACAGAGCGAGTGGGAAGCTGGGCAGCCCTGCGGATCTGTGCGGTGACTGGGTGGCATGTTTGCCCGCTGTTCTCCTGGCGTTCGGGGAGTCGAGCTCATGTGCAGAACCGCCTGGCGCCGGCGCCTCTGCCGCGTCTCCGAGCAGGCTGTCCTCCAGCGTGTGCCCTGACGGTGCGGAGCCGGGTCCTGGCTGGGTCCCGGCGCTGCAGCCCCGGGCCTGTGAAGGCGGCCTTCCTCGTGCAGTCAGAGGGCGGCCGCCTCATCGCTGTCACCCTCCGAAAGCGGTCGGCCCTTCCCAGCTGCTGCCGCTGCGGTGTCCCTGGGGTCGGCTGCCGGAGGGAGGCCCGTTGGCTGCGGAAGCCTGCAGGGCGGGGGGGCGGGTACAGGCTCTGCCCTCCCGCGGCGTCTGCCTCGGCCAGTGGCCGCCATCTGGGGGCGGCAGGCTCGTAGCACTTGAGGCACCCCGGTCCGTGCGGCAGGGATGCCTGGGCCCTGCCTCCAGGGGCTGGTGCCTGTGACCTGGCAGCGTGCACAGAGGCGGCCGGGCTTTTTTGCTGCTTAGAGGAGAATACCTGGAGGCACCGTGACAAGTTAGAGACGGCGGCTCCGTCTGCGTTTGCTGAGCTCGGCGCGGCACCCGAGGCCTGCAGCCCTGGGCTGGATGCGTCTCCCTGCCCCCGACCCTCCCTGTTTTGAATGTGGAGACTGGGATATGGTGAAAGTGTAGCCTGGTTAGGAGCGTGGCCAGCAGTCTCCTGGTAGGGGTTGTGGCCCTGAAACCCAGGCAGGCGACGGGGACATATTGTTCAGTACGACGTTGCATTGGTTTTCAGTGACGGGTATATGGGGTCTCTTGCTGTCCAGAGGCCACAAGAAGACGAAGCGCTGATTTGTCTCCATCGCTGCTGATTCCCCGCCAGCACGCTCGCCTGCTGGCGGCGGGGTGGGGCGGTGGGCCTGCTTGGACGCCTGCCTTTCCCGAGGAGGCCGAGAAGGGGGCGCGGGCTGCTCCGCACCTGCCGCTGCCCTGCTGCTCCGGCAGAGCTGCCGCGGGGGCCCCGCAGTCGCCCAGCTCCTCTGTCCTCCCCTCCGATGGCCCCGAGCTGCCCCAGCCTGCCCACCCGCCCATGAGGGCCGCAGCCCGTTGCCAGCCAGGGCTGCCAGGACACGGAAGGAGGGGCATGACCTTGGGGCTCCCTGAGGAAGCGCTGCAGGAGGAAGGAAGGCGCTCACTGCTTGCGCTGACAGCCTGAGGAGAGCCGGGGCGCCTGTCACAGACCGTGCCTGGGACGGCGCCGGCACCGTTGCGTTGCACACACTCGGCCCAAAAACCCAGCACGAGACAGAGGATGGCGCGCAGCCCACGGGCGGCACGGCACACCGACGGCCGCAGGCAGCCCGCGCCTGCCCCCGGGGCGCCCTCCCGCACCGCCCGGCCTTGTCAGCACCGCCCAGGCAGCGGAGAGGGTGCCCCAACACCATGCCGGGGGCGCCTGGGAAGAGCCAGTTGGACGCTTCGGAGAGGTCACCTAGACACGCGTGTAGCCTGTAAGCCGGCTGGCCTGGACCAAGGAAGGAAGGACCGAAGCTGGCCTCGACGGGTCTTCCGGACAGCAGAGGACGCCGGGCGCACACAGCCTAGTAGACAGTCGCCGCGTTTGTCAGGGCGGCTCCCGTGTGGGTGGCCCTGGGTCCTGTGGGAGGAGGGCTGGTGCTGCTGGGCATGGGCCAGGTCTCACGGCCGCAAGCCGTGCCCCCGGAGGTGAGCCCCCGTAGCAGGGACCGAGGCTTCCTTCCCTGCGTCCTTCTGTCTGGTGCATGGAGGCGAAGGGCCTGGGGGCTTTCTCACAATCCTTGAAACTCTCCTGTAGCTTTTAAATGTAGCAGGAAGCCTTAGAAGAAAAGCAAGAACGGGAGCAGCCTCTCTGCTGAGCACATGGTCCCGTGGCCGCCCTCCTAACTCATCGGTGACCATGCTCTTGGAGGCCCCAGGGACCCTGGCTGGGCCCTCCGCTCCTCAGTTCCTTTTCCCGTCCCCTCAGGGAGGGGCCAGGGCTCTGTGTCTGCAGACAAACTGCCTGCTTCAGAGCTGGGCCTCCTGTGCAGCCTCCGAACAGGCCCTGGCCTGAGTTCCTTGGGCACAGGCCCAGTTTCTCGGTCCCTCCCTGCGGGGCCACTCTCGGGTGGCCACAGCCCACTGCTTGCCCCACAGCTGCCCCCACCTGGTGGGCGCTTCCCCTGGCTGGCTTCCCCAGAGCGCATGGAAGGGCACCTCCGAGCAGGCAGGGCCTTGGTGCCTCCTTGAGAGTGGCCCCGGGTGGCAGAAGCTGTGCCCTCCAGGGCGCCAGCCCCACCTTTCTCTCCTGGCCTCCGGCCTGCTCTCCGGGGTCCCCGTCCTTGTCCTTGCAGATGGGCTCCGGGAGCCTTGCAGGAGCTGTTGTGCGTGAGGCTCCGGCCCCGACAGCCTCCCCGAGCCCTGCCCTGCGTCCCTCCCCCCGCCCCCTCCTCCCCGGCAGGCGGCGTGCAGCCTCTGCGCTGGGTCCTCCTGCCCTCCCCGCCTGGCCAGCCTGTCCTCCTGGGCGGCAGCCGCCTTCCGTCCCCATGCACCCCAGGAGCTGGCCCTCTGCCCCAGCGTGCTGAGCCCCGGAGGGCCCTCCCCAGTGAACTCCCCCCACCGTCTGATTGTTAGGGCCTGTCTGTAGCGCAGGTGGGCGCGGGGCGCCCCCTTCAAGAAAACACAGCCTCTTGGGCCTGGGGTCCAGAGGGCAGAGTTCACAGCATCGCAGCCATCTGATCCCCTGTCCCGTGGCCAGCTCTCAGCCCCACCGCTGTGTCAGCGCGCTGAGCTCTCAGAGGTCTCAGCCCGGGGGGGCGGGGGTGGGGGTGGGGGCGGGGCCTGGTCAGCAGGCCGGGAAGCTGGGGAGGGGGCACCGGTGCAGGCTTCCCTTTCAGGCCGAGCCCTCCGTCATGCAGGGAAGGACTCCGAAAAGGGACATCTCATACATTGAGTCATTGGGCTGGGGGGGAGGGGCAGGGCGCGGGCCTCCCTCCGGGGCGTCCAGGCACAGAGGTGCGCGGGCACCTCGGGCTGTCATTGCTGTCCTGTTGCCGGGACGCAGTGTTTCATAAATCCTACCCAACGCAGGCGAGTCTCCTGCAGGCGTGTCACTGCTCAGCACCGTGGACAGCGCCCGGCACCCACGGGGCATGGCCGCTTGGCGCCCGCCCGCCTGAGTTCAGGGTGAGGCCACAGCCCGGAGTTCTCCGTCCCTCTGTTTCTGGGGTGCAGGCTGAGTGACGTGCCTGTTACGTCTGATGACCTCAGTCGCCCGGGTCCCACTGACTCCCACCCCCCGCCCGCCCACAGATCATCCCCAAACCCAGCGAGCCGGCCCGGCAGCCTGAGAGCCACCCCGAGGAGACGGAGGAGGAGCTCCGGGAGCACCAGGCCCTGCTGGAGGAGCCCGGCCTGGACCGGCTCCCCGGGCCGAAGGAGGCGCCCGAGCCGGCCGGGGTGCAGGTGAAGCAGGAGCCCGTGGAGAGCGACGAGGAAGAGTCGCAGCCTCCGCGGGACGCGGAGTCCGGCCAGCGCCCGCCCACGGAGCAAGAGCTGCTCTTCAGACAGGTGCTGCTGAGGGGCGGCCGGCGGGAGGCGGTGCATGGGCGGGGCGAGTGGACGGGACGGGACGCCCGGGACAGGCACAGCGCTGGGCGGCAGCCCCGGTCCCGGTGGGCGCGCTGCGTGGCTGGCGGGGGCTGGGGCCTGAAGGCCTCGCCCCTCCACGCCCACCTTCCCGGCTTCTGTGGGGTGACGGCGGCCCACACCTCTTTTCACCTTCGCTGCTTCTGCACACGCTGGCCATTTGTTCCCTGTGGGCACGGACGTACCCGGCGCCCAGCCGGCACCCACCCAGACTCCCTTGGGTGGTTTTCTTCTAGGTCTGTGGGCCGGGGTAGCTGAAGTCCGCGTGTGTGGAGGGTTCGCACAATCAGTAAAGGTGGGGCTGGAAGGCGAATTTCTTAACTGATTAGAGAGGGAGGCGGGACATCTGGGAGCCCAGGTGGCAGCCGTGCCCAGCCTTGCAGGTCTGGAGAAGGGGTGTCCCCCGGACACCAGAGCCGGGAGGGTTCTGGGCTCTGACACACCGGCCAGGCTCCCGAGGGGCCGATGAGGACACCTGGTGAGCAACTTCCTAGTTTACACGGAAAAGTCAAACTGCCCCATCAATACAGCGCCCGGTCAGCACAGCGCCCGGTCAGTTGGCTTGCCAGGCAGCGCTGGGGAGTGACACGCTGGCCCTGCGGCCTACCCGGAGGGCCAGAGACCTGCTGTCCTGTAGGTTTGAGGTCCTTTGGTATCTGTGCTCTTACGGGAGACAGCTCTTCACATACAAACTTAACTTTTGTGAAGAACAGTTTTTCACGAAGTGCGGGTGTGTTCGCCCCTTCCCGTTCAGGTGGTGGTTTCTGCAAGGTGGCTCGGGGTGGGGGGTCTTGGGATCGCCCGTGCACACCGCACCTCCCCCCTCTCCCGGCCGCCTTCCCCAGCAGGCTGGGCCCTGGGTGCCGGGAGCCTGGTGGTACCTCTCCTGTGCTTCACACCCTCCTGTCCTCGGGGTGGGGCGGGAGTCCTGGGGGCCGGGGCAGGGGAACGGTGGCAAACGGAGTGGCGTCTGCATTCCCATCCGTGGTTCCTGCCCCGCTGGACACCAAGACAACAGCAAGCGGGCGGTGGCTGCTGGGCATCAGGTGGCCATCCTCAGCCCCCCCCCAGCTGCCACCGTGCGTGGCATGCGGGTGAACGGGCGGGAGGAGGGCGCACCGAGGGGTAAGTGTGAAAGGACACGCGGAGCCCTTCGCACACGTGAGGCTGTTCTGACACAGCAAAATGCGTTTCCCCCCAGCAAGCACTCCTGCTGGAGCAGCAGCGGGTCCACCAGCTGAGGAACTACCAGGCCTCCTTGGAGGCTGCTGGCCTCCCCGTGTCCTTCGGCGGCCACCGGCCCCTGTCCCGGGCGCAGTCCTCCCCAGCATCGGCCACCTTCCCCATGTCCGTGCAGGAGCCCCCCAGCAAGCCGAGGTTCACCACAGGTAAGGAGAGTGGGGGCAGGCGGCCGGGCCTCCGCGAGCGCTGGGCCGTGAGCTCTGGAGCCTGTACCGCGCCGAGGGCAGCGCTCAGGCCGGACACGGTCGCCGTGATGGGCCCGCCCTGCCCCCACGAGAGCACTGCGCCGGGGCTCAGCCCGGCAGGCACGTGGGCCGTTCTGGAGCGCAGCCTCGTTTCTGGGGTCGCCGTGGTCCCTGCCACAGGGCCAACAGCCGTGAGGCCAGGTCCTGGGGGTGGGCCTCCCTTTGGTGCCCTCCACCTGCTCCTGCCACGCGGGCCTCACTGTGGACCCCATCCCAGGGGCAGTGTCAGCCTGACCGCTGGCTGGGTGGCCAGCTTTCTGGGCTGGTGGTGGGCAGCCCGCTGCAGCGGCCCCCCGGGGCGCTGACAGTGGCCCCGCTGCCCCACTGCAGGCCTGGTGTACGACACGCTGATGCTGAAGCACCAGTGCATCTGCGGGAACAGCAACAGCCACCCTGAGCACGCCGGCAGGATCCAGAGCATCTGGTCCCGGCTGCAGGAGACGGGTCTCCGAGGCAAATGCGAGGTAGGGCCGGGCCCGGGGTCGGGGCAGCTGCCGGAGTCCCGCGCTGAGTGTGGGCCGGCGCGGGCAGGGGCCTGTGAGCCGTTCATGACGGGGACGCATAAGCCTGCCCTCTGGGCGATGCCCAGGGCTTGCTCTTCGCAGCTGAAGTCCTCCCCGTGGAAGGCCTACTCCTGTCCCGCGCCCCCCGGTTTCCCGCACTGTCTGCGCCCCCCGCTTGCACGCTGTTCAGCTCCCACCCAGCGCACACCTGCTGAACCCCTGGCCGCCTGTCCCCTGCCGGTCGCTCCCCTGGAGGCGCTGTTGGAGGCTGTGTTCCCGGCAGTACCCAGGCCACACCCCAGCCACGCTCGGGCCTCTGCCGGGTGCGGGGTGGGGGTCTCAGGCCCACGGAGAGGGGAGCCCCTTGCTTGTCCCTCAGTCTCCGTGCACTTTATCTCCCGAAGCACCGCCCCCCGGGGTGTGGAGAGGGTCAGGTCTGAGGCGCCCCTCGGCAGCCGAGCTCCCATGGGCAGCAGCACGTGTGGGGGGCAGAGCCGTGGTCCGGCCTGGTTGGAATCGGGTTCCTGAGCACAGCACCCCGACCCGCTCCGAGTGGGGCGAGAGGGTCAGCTGGTCCTCAGCCGCCCGACACGTGGCTCAGCAGCCCCGGCCCGTGAGGACAGGGAGGCTTTGCTGAGCGACACACAGGGCGTTCTTGGTCCCCCTGGTGGGAGGACGGCATCCCCACCGAGTGACCAGCTTCTGGTCTGGGCCCTGGGTGTGGCCGTTGGGAGGGGGTAAGCGCCAGAAGAACCCAGGCTTGGGGGCCCCTCGGTGTCCTCGTGGGTGAGGCCTGGCAGCACCCCCCAGGGCACTCTAGGACAGTGGCCCTGGCCCCCAGGTGCCCATTCGGGGGGACTGGCTGTGTCCCCACGTTCTGGGAGCCCCTGCATCACCAGGGACGCCCTGCAGAGGGACCCTGGGAAGCTGGAGCCTGCGGGGGCCACAGCCTGTGCACATCCACGCGGTACTGCCGGGCAGGTGCGTCCCAGGGCCCTGCCGGAGGCCCCCACGCCGAATGATAAGGAACCCCAGTCTCCCGTCTTCACCAGCTTCCTGATGACTTGGGATCTTTGGAGGGGAGGGGGACGCAGAGGCCAGGCCCAGAACCCTGTCCTGAAGTGCCCCTGGGGGGACAGTGATCCCCAGCGGGTAAGGGGGGAGCCTGGGCCTTGCTCCCCTTCGGCCAGAGCTCACCACTGGGGGGCAGCATTGCCCCGGCAGATGTGGCTGTGACCCTCCCTTCCTCCTGCCGCCGCCCTGGCCCTGCTCCCCACAAGGCCACAGGGGCATTTCAAGTCCAGGGACCAGCTTCCTGCCCCTCCCCGCTTTCCCCAGGAAGGTCTCTGAGGCCAGAGGCCTCCGGGCTGGTTTCTCAGCTGGAAAAGGCAGCCTGGCAAGGTGGGGTGAGACAGGAAGACGCGGGCGCGTGAGGCCCCCTGCTCTCCCCTCTTTGACACCGTGCAGTGGCACCAGCCTGTCCTGCTCGATGGCTGCAGGGGGTTCTAAGCCTGCGGGACCTGGGTACTGGGGAGGAGCGGGGCCTGTGGGCCCTGCGGTCAGAGCCGAGCCCGCAGGACGGCCGGGAGGAGGCTGGCCTGGAGTGCGGGGCCCCTGTCTCGCGCTCAGTCGGGGACCTGGGGTCTCTCCCGACGCATGTGGGGTGCTGGCTCCTGGCCCAGTCCCCTGGACGGCAGAGCCCAGGGCTGGCACAGGACAGCCGCGAGGGGCACTCTGCCCTGGGCCCAGGGCCCCCCCCGAGGCACCCGGCCACGGGCGTCCTGTGAGCGGGCTCCCGCCCCGGGGCTGCCACTGCGGGCTCGGCGCAGTCCCGATGGACACGGTGGGGAGCGGGCGCGTCTGTCCCAGGAGCTCGTTCCCGCTGCCGTGCGGAGGTGGGACAGAGCACCCCCGGCCACCGCCTGCGGTGGCATCGGGTCTCGGGGGGAGCAGCCCCCCGCCCCCATTCTCCATCCCCTAGAGGCAGGGGCAAGGGCTGCTACTGGCCAACGCCGCCCTGGATGCCCAGCCCCAGGGCCTCTGTCCGTGCTGCTCGCCCTCAGAAGCCACCGTGGCCTAGAGCATCAGCCTCAGCTCCCCTCCTGATGCTGCTCCCGCTGGCGGGGGCGCAGGGGCTCAAGTGAAGAACAGTGACTTCTGTGCTCAGTTCTGGGGAAAGTCTGAGAACAGCCCAGGACTCTCGATCTGAGGAACTGTTAAACCAAGGAAGAGTCCGGGCGGGCGGGCGGGCGGCGGACTGTGAGGCTGGCCTCGGGCTTCTCTGGTCTCGTGGGAAGGCCGCTTCGTCCTGACCCTGCGCAGCACTTGGGGCCGTGGTCCCGGCAGCCCCGCCCGGCCGTGGGCGGCAGGGCAGTGGCCGGTGCCAGGCTGCCGTGGGACGGGCAGGGTGCTGGAGCTGGCGTTGCCTGTCCAGACGGTTTTCAAAGTCCGAGCGTGAGCCTCTAAAACAGGCGTCCAGCCTCTCGGGGTCTCCGGGTCGCACTGGAAGGTCGTCTCGGGCTACACGCTAAGTGCATTGTAATACGTAACCACAAAAAAAGCTTTGCGTCTCAAGCAAATTCACGATTTTGTGTTGGGCCATGTTCACAGCTGTCCTGGGCCACATGCGGCTTGTGGGCCGCAGGTCAGACATCCTTGCGTGTTTTAAAACGTTTCTAAAATACAGTGTTGGCTGATGTGTGCTTTTTATTTTGCAGTAACCAAATAACTTTCTGCTCATGCGTGTGTGCAGTTCAATGTCCTTTAGGGGGCAGTTTCCCTGAGCCTGTGCGCACAGGAGACGTGAGCAGCCTCTCCGTTGTCCCCGCAGTGCATCCGCGGACGGAAGGCCACCCTGGAGGAGCTGCAGACTGTGCACTCGGAGGCGCACGCCCTGCTCTATGGCACCAACCCCCTCAACAGGCAGAAACTGGACAGTAAGAAACGTCTAGGTACTCGGAGGCCTTCCTACCTTTACCGCCCGGGGTGGTTTCCAGCCCCTGCTCCCTCAGGGCAGCCCCGCGCCTGGTCCCAGGACGGCCCCCACGCCCGCCCACGGCCCCTGAGGTGGGGCAGCCCGTGAGTGTCGCCTGCCAGGCTCTGTCTGGCGGCTCGGCGGGGCCCCCGGCTCTGCGGACCACACAGGCTCTCCAGGGAGGTGCTGGCACCTGGGGGGCGCAGGGGCCCTGCTCGTGTCCACGTCTCAGGCAGGAAGTGGTCTGGGCACCAGGGGGCTCACAGAATCGGAACAGCAGGGATAGACTCCCCAGCTTTCTGCCCACTCTGCCTGCAGCCTGAGCCGCCTCGTAAGGCTCGCGGGGGGAAGGCGGGAGGTGGCCTGCAGCGTGGTCACTGTGGGTGGGGGTCCCGAGCCGCCCCACCCCCCTGCCACCCCAGGGCCGAGACCTTGGGCCGTGGCGGCAGCCTCGCATGCCAGGGGTCAGGAAACCGGGGCTGAAGGAAGGCGCTTCAGACAAGCCTGCTCCGCCGGGGAGGGGGCGAGGGCCCCCCTGGGGGGTTACACAGGGGCTCCCGGATTCAGACCCCACCCCGTGAGGACCTTCTGGGACTTAGACCCTGGCCTCCTGGCCGCCTTGAACTGAGACAGTCACTTACGTGAGTTTTCTTCGTCCAGGGGGCGAGGCCCCCATAGGCTTATTCCTGACCTGGGAGGCCTGGGAACTAGGGACGCTGGGTCACCGCAGGGGCGGAGGGCAGGCTGGGCACTGTCCCCCTGTGTCTCCGTGGCGAACGTGGGAACCGTGGGCTCTTCCCTGTGCCGCCAGCCGTGTGCCGCCTGGGGGTCCCACTGCAGCGCAGCCTGGGTCCCTTTCCCGTTCACGCGCGCGCTCGCTGCCTGGTGCAGGATTTTGCCTCCAGGCCTCTGGGTGACCTGCAGTGGCCCGTGCCTTCCACGATGGTGCAGCGGGTGGGGCGGTGAGGAAACGCACACCGCCATCCCCCACGGCCCTGCGGTAACGGGGCTTTCAAAGACATAAGGTCCCCACCCATGGGGAGACGGCAAAGGAGCCAGCAGCTGGACGGTGCCGAGGCTGTAGCGCAGGGGGCGGCTTCTGAGCCAGCGGTGGGTCGAAACCGCTGGCTCGCCCAGCCCAGTATGGCGGCTGCAGAGACCCGGGGCTGGGGCGGGAACGGCCAGAGAGGCTGTGTCCCTGCGCCTGCGTGGCCCGCAGCCTGGACAGGGGGGCCCGGGGCGCCTGAGCGGGAATGGGCATCGGGCACGGAGCAGGGCATGGATGCCGGGCCTCCCTGCTGGGTTTTCGGCGTGTTGACCGCTTCCCCCCAGCAGGTAGAGCAGCCCCTCCTCAGGGATGAGTAGCCCGAAGGGCGCGGCCATCGGGACGCTCTGACGGGCGGCCCCAGGGCCCCAGCAGCGGCACTCACAGGCTGTAAGCGCGTCGTGTGCCCAGGCCCTCCCGGGGCTCCTAGGCCCTTGCCGCTGGCTGCAGGCACAAGGCCAAGGGTCCACTTCCTGGGGAGGTGCCTGGGGGCGACAGGGCCAGGGCAGAGCAGCGCGGGGGCCGGGCTCCAGCGGAGCGGGGGCCCTGTCGTACCGCCCCAGCCAGGGGATGGGTGCCGTCGGAAAGGCGGGAGCACGGGGTGCCCGAGGGAAGGAACAGCTGCCCAAGCCCCGGGGCTGGGTGGCCAGCGAGCAGAAGCGAGGGCAGCAGCCGCGCGTGAGCGGGATGCCGGCCGGGGCTCGCCGCTCTGCGCAGACGCCCCCGCCCTGGCGCGCCCGTCGGCCCAGTGCGAGGTGGCAGAAGGGCGCTGCAGACACGGTGCCGCCAAGGGCGTGGCCCCCCCAGCGGAGCTCCGAGGCGGCGGCGCCCTGGGCCTGAGCGCCTGTATCCCTGGCTGTCTGTCTGACCACGGCAGGCACTTAGTGCCCGCGGCTCTGGGGGCTGCGAGGCCGGGGCTGGGGCGTCCTTCTGGCTCGCTGACGGCCGGCCCTCGTGGCGAGGGGGTGAGGGACACTGTGGGGTTCCTCTTTGAAGGACACCACGGTCATTCAGGATGGGCCTATTTTTATGACCTGGGGACCTCCCAGAGGACCTTCTCCTGACGCCGTCCATTGGGGGTTAGGATCCCAGCATGTGGACTTGGGGGACTCACCCACCTTCCCACCGTAGCAGCCCAGAGGCCAGCCCTCACCAGACAACCCAGCAGGTCCCGGAGGTGCCGTGTCCCCGGGTGGAAGCCCCTTGGCAGAGAGGAGAGCGCCCGCCTGTCAGGTGTCTCCACTAGGAAGTCGGCACTTCTGGACCTTCCTGTTGCCGGAGCCCAGATGCTCGGGGGCCAGCCCAGCATCCCCTCTGGCTTCCTCCCGTCCTAGCTGCATGGCTCCTCCCCCCACCAGATCTGCGAGGAGGGCGCTGGCTGGGGCTCAGGGTGCCCCTAGACCTTCCAGCCGGAAGTGCAGGGGGTCCTGGGGGGCTGAGGGTGTCCCAGCCGCTCGCCCTGCCCACCCAGCCGGAGCCCCAGCCCCAGCTCCATTCCCCGGGATGCATAGGGAAGCGGGGAACGCTGAGGTCAGCGTGAGACCGGACTTCCCCCGCCGGCCCAGCCTGGGAGCCGTCCCCTCAATGGGGCACTTCTTTGCCCTCTGCTGTTCTTGCGCCTCAGCTCAGCCCTTTGAACCTTGGCGGCCGTGGTTCAGGGTGCAGCCTAGGAGGTGGGGCCATGAGGAAAGTATAGGGACCGCTCCCCACAGGGAGAGGGTGGCGTTCTGTGGGCCCGGCCATGGGCCTGAGCTCTCTGCTGTCCCCCAAAAGGCAACCCTGTCTTCGAGTTGGAAGGTGTTCGGGGTTTCCAGGCCCCTCACCCCGGGGGTCATGGACAAGGACTTGGACAGACGGCAGGAAGTCTGCGCCAGGGTGCAGGCCCAAGGCTCTGGTGGACGCGTGCCGCGTGGAGGGTCTGGAGGGCGGAGCTGGGGTGCAGAGGGCAGAGTGTGTCCGGAGATGAGCCAGCGCCACCCGGCCTGGAGCCAGGCAGGGCTTGGAGGAAGGAGCCCTCAGGGACGAGGGCAGCTGGCAGCGGGCAGCAGCCTCGGCGTGGGGACCCTGAGCGAGGCGGCCACGTGCGGGAGGCAGCTGCCCAGTGTGATTGGCCGCGCCCACCCCTGGAGCCCCCAGGAGCCCCCAGAAGCGCTGCAGGGTGCCTCCGCGGTCCCGGGGCCGGCGCCGGGCCTGCACTCCGGCCGGTGGCGCGGGTCGCTCTGCGTTTCTTTTCCCTGGAACTTGGCTTTTAAAATTGGTTCACGTGGTTATAAGGATGGCGAGTTGGTTTCTCCTTCCCTCCACTGGGATCTGCTTTTAAATGCCGCGGCCGAAGCGGGACCGAAGTCTGAGTGTCCCCGATGCGGTCGTGGTGATTATCTCACGTCGTGACCCTTCCTAGGTGCTCTAATTCTCCTCTGTGGCTTCCCTTTTTCTTTCAACTGAATCCACAAGCTTCTCAGCCCCTGTGTAAGACTTGTGTGGGGTGGGGGGGCTGGCCAGGCACTCTCTGAGTGTCCCTGGGAGTTGAGGGTTGTCTTCTGACGGCTACAGCCAGGAAGCAAGGTGGGTGGGCTCCTGCCTGTGGCCGGGGTCCGGCAGGCCTGCCCGGGTGGCCAGCCTCATGTGCCGTCAAAATGAATGGGAAATGTTTTCCAGTGGGGAGATCTGTCTCTGCTTACGATCTAGAGAGGTCCCTCGTGTCTGGAGGGCTCACTGTATTCTGGCTCCTCTCCCTTGTTCACAGTGGGCGGGGGGCGGGGGGTGCTGCTGGGGCCCTAGGGTTTGCACCCACGTTGGGGCTGGCGGCGAGGCCCACTATGGAGCCGGGTCGGGTCAGGTGATGGCGAGGTCCGCTTGGCTGCCGCTGTCGGGAGCATGGGTTTGTTCTGTGGAAGGGGCGTGTGCTCAGGCTGGACACAGGCTCCTGGGGACCTCCCCTGCCCTGGGAGGAGAGAGTGGCCAGTCCAGGACCCGCTGCCCACCAGGCGCCGTCCTTCCCGCAGGTCCCGCGGGGGAGGCGGTTGTACCCTTGACGCTGGCTGCCCTCAGCCATGGAGGCGTGCATGCAGCATGTTCGGTGGTGTCAGGGTGCCCCGAGGAGCCCGCAGCGCCCCCAGAGCCTGCGCTGTGCTCAGGGCGCCCCCTGACTTTGGCCCCCTGACCTTGGCTGTCTCCCCTCCGCAGGCTCCCTGGCGTCCGTGTTCGTCCGGCTGCCCTGCGGGGGTGTCGGGGTGAGTATTTCTTTAATGTGTAAATAACGTTCTGTTTGTTCCTGGGGTCCCAGCGGTCACAGGAGCCGCGCCCGCTCTACGCAGAGCCCGTAATCGCTGCCAGGTGTTTTCCGTGAGCGGGCTGGCGGTGGGGCCGCGTGCACGTGCGGCTTCAAAGGCCTCGGGAGCTGGGGCCTCTGGGCAGCTGGGCTCGGGCACCCCCGGCTCCCCCAGGAAACAAACGGGACCAGGCATGTGGGCAGGGTCACCCTGGGCCACCGTCTGCTCGTCCGGGCTCAGGTCGCCCCCAAAGCCACTCGGCGGGCGTGTGTGGGTCCTGTCCGATCTCTCTGGCCCCCAGCCCCCGTGAAGCCGAGTGCGGGAGCCTGATGTGTCGGGCCCTGGGAATTGGGCAGCGCTGCTGGCCAGGTCGTGGTCACGGCCTTTCCAACAGGGACAGAGCTTTCAGGCGGACGTGCAGGGAGCGCACTGGGGTGGGGGCGGGGCCAGCAGAGCTGCAGTTTTGGGGGGGCCGGGAAGTGACCGCGTGGACAACAAAGCCATCGGGCAAGACGCACGGCGCAGGGTGTGCGTGTAATCATAGATCGCAGGGTGAAGCCCAAGGTCTGGATTCTGTTATGGAAATGAAACAAAATTGTCTTCTTCCTGAGTCTTTACAAAAATCGCTGCTTTGAAAATTATCCCGTCAGAAGGGGAATCAGCGGCGTTTATTCATCCACCACCAAGCCCTTCTAGAGTTGTGTTATTCTGAATTGTAAGTAGGCTGCAATCTCTTAATTCAGGGCAAATTTTTGGCCAGACTTGAAAAAGTCAGGATTCGCACAGCCCTGCAGCCAGCGCTGGGCAAGGCAGGACTTAAAATTTGCAAATGAGCGCTCCCTGGGGCCTCTGGCCAGGAGCCCCTCCCCCGCGCGTGCCCGGGCCGGCCGGCCGGCCGGCCAGTGCCCGCCTTGGGCTCAGGCACAGAGGTGCCCGTGCGGACCCCAGCCCTGGGCAGTGCCCATGCAGGCCGGGCAGAGGAGAACTGTCGAGCAGTCGGCTGGGGGCACTGGGGGCGTGAGCCGCCGGGCTTCTCTCCGCGGCCCCTGACCACCTGGGACGGGGGCAGAGCTGCAGGTGCGTCCGCCGCCCTCCTGGGCCTCGGCATCACCTCCCGGCCCTGGGGACCAGCCCCGAGGGTCTCGGGGTAGCCCAGCAGACTCCAGGGCCCGCGCGTGGCAGGGGTGTTTCGGTAGGTGATGAAGCAGGGAGGAGAGGCTGCTTCCTTTTTTCTGGTACTTTGACACTTAGCTTTGCGGTTTCTTCCTTAGCTGCACGGAACAGAGGTTGCCTCAGTTTATCTTTTTTCAGACTAAGTAAAAGAAACTTTTGCCCACCGCCTAACCCTCACAGGTTTCTCACTTAGTGAGGACTTGAGTCCCTGCCTAGCAGCTCTGGGTGCCCTGGCTCCTAACGGGCCACGCGCCCAACCCCCGCCTGCTCCTGCACTCGCTGTGGGATGCTGCGCCGCGAGTCCTGCCCTTCCTCGCTGACCGCACCGCCACCTCGCCTGGAGCAGGGCTGGGCCCCCCCTCCCAGGCTGGTCCATGAGGCTGGCAGCTGGGGCCCAGGCCTGAAGCAGTGGGAGGTCTGAGGTCCCCTGGGGTCCCTCTGGAGCTGGGCTCTGCCCCTGGCTCGGGGCAGGATGTCAGGGGACCCTGGGTGCGCAGGGCAAGAGCACAAAGCCCCTCAGAGCACGTGGCGTGTTGGTTCGTCCTCCCTCCCTGAGCTGGTTATTTGGCCCTAAAGCCCAAATGTCTGATCAGGGAAGAGAGATAATCTGGGTGGTTTTGCCCAACCTGCTTTCAGTCCCCAGAAATGCAGCCTCCGGGCTGGCCCACCCGTGGCCTTGTCGTCCTGAAGGCTCAGGCGGCTGGTGGCCGCCCCACCAGCTCTCCGTCGAGAGCCTCCCCGCGCGTCCCCGCGGAGCAGAGTGGCTGTGTCTGAATGGCCCACCGTGAGCAGCGGAGCGGTGTTACCTAGAACGGAAGCCGGTCTTTGGAAGTTGAACATCAAAGCTGCGGAGAGTTGGCAGAGCGCACAGCATTCCTCTGACATTTGGAAGCTATTTAAAGAACACAGAGACTCGGTCGTTGCAAAGAGTAACCCTCGCGGTGCAGCGCTCATCAGACGACAGCTCGCCCCTCGTCCGTGCGTCTGAAACCCTCTGGCTCTGAAGACAAGCGCCAGGGCTCTGCTGAAGTCCGCCCCCCCCACGTGGCGATCAGGGCCTGTCGGGCGGGCAGGAGCCGGTGCCCCCAGCACGCCTGCCACGCGGGGCAGGCTGGGGTTCGGCAGCACCCCTGTGTGCAGCTGTCCGGGCCCCTGTCTCTGGAGCCCCAAAGAGGAGGTGAATTTGGGACGGGGTCCTCCGACAGACCGGACAGACCCTCTGTCGGAGGCTAGCAGCTTCTCAGGGTCTTCCCAGGGCCCCCGCGGCCCCCGCAGGGCCTGTGGTGCGTGTGGCGAGGCTCCTGTGGTCGGGGCTTAGCGCCCAGGGCCAGCTGCACCCCGGCCTCCCGCCTGCTTCCTCCAGGATCCCGCAGAGAGATGCTCTGCAGCACTGGCGGCCGATGTCTCTCCTTTGTCTCCCACACTGACCAGGGCTTTAAAGAACCCGATGCACCTCAGTAAGCAGACCTCCACACGAGGGGACATCACCGGGCCTGTGTGCCACAGGCCACGCCGTCTGAGACAGAGCGTGAGCGCCAGACGCGCTGTCCCCCGGGCAGAGTGCGGCACACGGTCCATCTGCGTGTTCCTGGAGCCCCGCCTCCCTCACCACCCAGCCCACGCCTCCATTGCTGGGGGACTTACCAAGCGCTCGCTCCTTCTCATCAAGGCACAAAATAGGATCATAATTTGGAGAAACCTAATTCTTTTTCGTTTTGTTCATTGTTAGTTCAACCACATTTGGAGTAAAAAAAGGGGGGTGCTGACCCGGTGGCCGTGCCGACGTTGGCTTCATGTGCGCGGGAGCCGCAGAGTGAAGCAGCAGCGTGCAGGGGGGCGCCCAGGCGCGTGCTCTGCGGCTTGCTCGTGGATCTCTGCTTAATGTTTCTGGCTTGTCTTCGAGAACGTACGAGGTGCGCCCTGGAGAGGGTGCGGAGGCGGGGGGCTCACGGCTGTGTCGTCCCCGCAGGTGGACAGCGACACCATCTGGAACGAGGTGCACTCATCGGGGGCGGCCCGCCTGGCCGTGGGCTGCGTGGCGGAGCTGGTCTTCAAGGTGGCCACGGGGGAGCTGAAGGTCAGTGAGGGCGCAGGGACGGGCTCCTGGAGGGACGCCTGCCTGGGCCTCTGCGGGAGGCGGGGAAGGGAGGGCAGCCACTGAGACTCCCCTCTAGACAGGCATGTGACTGGTAGAAGGACGGCCCCCACCCAGGCTTAAAGAGGGGACCCCATTCCGTCCGCTCCTGCTGAATCAAAGGGACCATTTCCCACAACCGAACCCACATTGTGCCGCCGTCCTCAGAGGTGGGAGCCTTGCAGCACTTACAGTCCTGAGCTGTCGGAGCGCCCCAGGGAATTCAGTGTGCGGGCTGTGCCATCAGCGCGGGCCCTGTTAGAGACGGAAGCTAAGAAACTTCAAAAACATTTGTGAACTTGAGAAGGACGCTCCGTCTGGCTCAGTAGGTCAGCAGGGCTCTCTGAGCCGCTCCCGCGCATGCTTCGGGCTGCGCTGTCCTGAAGGGCGTGCGAGGAGAAAGCCTGCCTCGCCGGGCCCGGCACTGGGGAAGGACAGGCACTTCAGCAGGTCCTCAAGTTCAGTGTGGCTCTTCGCGGAGCCGCACCATGGTCGGGCTGTGGCAGTCCGCTGCCGCGTGGTGCTGAGACGGTCCGTGAGCTCCCGTTCTTCAGGAAGACCCATCAGCTCATCCCGCACGTTGACTGGAGCCCTGATCCCCATGTGACTCACGTGACTCTGGCCTTTGGGAAACGTGGGCTCGGTGCCCGACGTGGGTCCCCCCAGTCCTGACGCGTCCATCACAGTCACACGCCCTCCGCGGGACCGTCCCCGAAGTGCGGGGAGGAGCGTTGGTGCTCGCCATGGCCCACGTGGGCCCGCCTGTCTCGGTTTCACTGGCGTGTGCTGGACTCCCCGAGGCGACAGGCCCCTTCAGGAGACTGTCCAAGTCCCCGAGCGTGAACGCCAGCTTCCGGGCAGCGTCCCGAGGAGGGTGGGTGTGCCCGCGGGAGGAGCCCTGCTTCCTGCCTCTCACACCGACGCAGGTGGGCGGGCGCTTAGGGCTGAGAGTGGATGGAACCAGTAAGTCATCGAGGACACCCTGGGGAGCCGACCCGTGGGCAGCGTCGCGCTGCGTGTTGGTGCTCTCCAGGCTGCAGCCTCGTTCCTGCGTCGGGCCTGCCCGTGCGCCCGCACAGCAAGACGGACGGCGAGGGTCCCCGGGGCCTGCAGCCTGCACGCTGAGCACCCGTGTGCCGCCCGTGTGTGGGCTGTGTGCCAGCCGGCAGGCGTGCCGGTGCGGCCGCGTGCGCCCGGGGCCGGGCCTTGGCCGCGCAGTTCCCCACGGTGATGCGTCGTGTCCCCTTTACACAGCGGCTGTCGGCACTCTTAGCGGAGGCGGGGTGGGGGCGGGGGCGCACAGGCAGCCCCTCCAGCCTCTGAGACGGTGCCTCCCGGTGGGGACGGGCTGTTTGTTGTCCACATTGCCCGCTCCCGTGAGCTGCGGGTCGCAGTGAGGTCTGCCGGGCGAGGCGTCCACCTGAGACCGAGCCCCTTGGTTTCACCCGCATCCGCCGTCCCCATCAGGCTGCTCCCTCGGGACACTGCCCTGACGATGGGGCACCAAGGGCTCGCACCGGCCCTCCCGGGTCACCACGCTGAGCGACGCCAGCCTGCCCGGTGGGCTAGCAGACGTCGGAAGTCGGGGACGTCCTCCCCTTAGCGGTCGCCAGTGGACTCTAAAAGGTGGGGGTGGCCGTCTCAGCCGCGCCCAGAGATGGCCCCGGGCCGGCCCCGGGTGCAGCACAAAGCCACGCCCTCGCGTGCCCTCTGGGTCTGCTGACAGTCCCCTCTCCAACGGCTTTGTCACTGACGCGAAACCAATCTTTCACCCCTGTTCCCGTGCGCTGGCGTGTGCAGAACGGCTTTGCAGTGGTCCGCCCCCCGGGACACCATGCGGAGGAGAGCACGCCCATGTAAGTAGCTGGTGGAAGCGGTGGCCGCGCCCTGTGGCCTCGTGCCCGGGTCAGTCGACTTGCTAATGGGGGGTGGTGCAGAGGTGAGCGGGGGTCGTGCAGGCCACAGGCCGCAGGCGCGGAACCAGGGCCCCCCCGGGACCCCTGTTGCTTCAGCCTGGAGCGAGGGCCGGCCCAGGTCCCCGAGGGAGCAGTCCCGTGTGAGAAGCCGGGGGGGCGGGCATGGGCCGCAGTCTCTGCAGACACCAGTGGTCACCCGGCCTGGCACACGCGGCCCACTCCAGTTGGGAGCAGGACCAAGTTCCGTGGCTCTAAAGGGGCTTTCCCAGCTTGAATCTCAGGGCTGGACGTCCTGAAGAGTGAACCCAGATGCCCACCGTGGACCGCGGAGGAGGGCTGTCAGGGACGTCCCTGCGCCGTGTGCCGGGCTGGGGCTGTGTGCCCCAGGGAGGGGCGGGCTGCCGGGCTGTAGCCGGGACTGCAGAAGCGGAACAGCCTGGCCCCTCAGCTCTGTGGGAGTTCCGGCAAAGACAGGCTGAGGCGGAGCAGAGTCCTATTTTGACTTAAGTTACTTTCTTAGCTGTTGTCTGCTCTCCTGAGTAAGAGTCTAGAATCAGTCAGTCACCAGCGTGACCGAGTGTGTCGTCGTCCTGTCTTAGCGCACAGAGAGACGGGGAGCGAGCCCCGGAAACCGGCCGCCTCTGCGGCGTGCGCCCGCGGCAGCCCTGAGAGGCCAGTGAGGCGGAGCGGGCGGCGGTCCCTGCCCGACGGGACGGGGTCAGACCGTCTGCACTCGGAGACGGAACGCCAGCTGGGGCCCTCGCGCTGCTTGTCTAGAGGCTGTGCACTCCCCGGGCCCTCTCAGCCGCTCGCAGGTTTTGGAGGGTTCTGCTGGACGATGCGTAAAAACTGACCCAACCCCTTATTTTCCCTCTGGTTCTCGCCTGCAGGGGCTTCTGCTACTTCAACTCTGTGGCCATAGCAGCCAAGCTCCTCCAGCAGAGGCTGAACGTCAGCAAGACGCTCATCGTGGACTGGGTGAGTGCCGCTCCCAGGCGGGCTGCGGCTACAATGCCCGCAGGGCCACGGGGTCCCCTGCGGAGGGTGGGGGCAGGCACTTCCGTCTCCTTCGACATTGATATTTGGGGGCCTTAGTTTCTGAAAACCACCTCAAAGATGCAGGGCGGGAGGAGGGATGCCCCGCATGTTACAGGTCGGTTTCATGGCCACTCCTGCCGGTAACCAGCTCCTGGCAGGTCTAGAAACGCGCCCGTGGTTGAGGGCGACTCTTGGCAAAGCCTCGCTGGGAGGCAGTTTCAGGAGGCGGCAGTGCAGCCAGGACGCGTGTCTCCGTCCAGTGCGCAACCACACTCTACCTGGCCCTGTGCACACGGTGCTTGGCCTCGCCCCTGGGAAACGCCCCTCTGGCCTCTGTGCACGGTACACCAGGAACCACTCCCGCCTCCTTGCTCTCGCCCTGGGGTGGGAGGGGCCGCTGCCTGCGGGGCCACCCCTGGACTCCCGGTCCTTAACACTGCAGGTGGACGGCCAAGGCGGGGCTTTCACGTCACCCTTCTTTTTACAGAGAAGGAGTGAGGGACGTTCTCTTCTGTATTTATGATTAGTTTTGTAATTTTTTTAAGAAAAAAGTCAAGTATGTCAGGTGGGAGTATCATTTGTAATATAAAGTTTTCAGTTTAGGAAAGAAAAACCACACATACAACCGAGGATGCCCAGGAAGCACTGGCCAGGGAGGTCCAGTGGACTTTAGGTGGCCGAGGCAGCCCAGCTCGGGGAGCATCCGCCTCTGGAGTGAGGCGCCGGCTGCCACGTGTCCAGTGCCTGTGGCCCTGAGCCCTTCCGTGGCCCCTAAGGGAGTAACAAGATGCTGGGGACGCGCGGGGCACCGTGCAGGGAGCCCCACGGGGTCACAGTGCTCCGTGCTGGGGCGGCGTCCCCCACACAGGCGCTGCTGCTGCGCCAGGAGGAAGCCAGGGCCTGCACGGGAGCCTCGGGGAGCCCCATGGGGCTGTGCTGTCACGTCCACACAGGGTCCGGGGGTGCGCACCTGCCGCTTGTCTGCACAGCAGCCGCAGTTCCTGTTGGGTGGGGTAGCTCATTCGTTTATTCCTGCTCCTAGTCCACAGTGGCCCCCCGTGTTTCCTGTAATGAGCACCGATAGCTTTTGCAAAGAAGAGAAAGAGGCCAGGCAGCCCCCGGCGCTCCCCGCCCGGGGTGTGCGAGAGCGCCTGGCGCACGTGCCGCGTGAGGCAGGCCCTCCCTGTGGCCTCAGGCCCACGGAAGCCCAGCTGCCCCTGTGTTGATCGGTGTGGGGGCGGTCAGTCAGTCTAGTTTGGAACCTGGGTCCCCAGTGCTGTGTGCCCTGTGCACCTGCCACTCGGCCCTGGAGGGGCCTCCTGCCGCATCTGGGGCGGGCGCAGAGCTGGCCCCCCCACGTGCTTGAGGACGCACAGTTGTGGTCAGAGGGCAGAGAGACAACTCACTCCTCACGGACGTGGAGAGCAAGGAGTCGGTCGAGTGGTTTGGGAAACCGTGGCCTCCCCCAGGCAGGGGTGAAGGACCGGCCTCGTGTCACTGCTGAAGCCTGCGCTCTGCCCTGGGGCCCGGGACGCGCGCCCAGCCCCAGCCTCTTCCTCCTGGGCCCTGGCCTGGCCACACTGAGCCTGCCCTCCCACCCCTAGGACGTGCACCACGGCAACGGGACCCAGCAGGCCTTCTACAGCGACCCCGGCGTCCTCTACATCTCCCTGCACCGCTACGACGACGGCAACTTCTTCCCGGGCAGCGGAGCGCCCGACGAGGTGGGCGGCTTGCAGGGCGTCAGGGCGAGGCCAAGGCAGGGCCCTGGGGATGAGAGGGCAGGTGCCAGGACCCCGGGAGGCAAGCGGGGACCGAGGTCGGCCTGGGCCCCAGCCCTCGTGCGCCTGGCGGCCTGATGGTGCCCGGCCAGGCCGACGGAGACGGCCTGCACGGGGAGCGGGACACCCGCCCTCCTGGGGACAGCGGCTCGAGCCGGCCGAGCTTGCCTGGGCCCACTCGCCGGGGACAGCCGCTCGGAGCCTTCACGGTGCCCCACGCCCGGCCACGCCCGCCCCCACCCAATGAAACACCCCCTCCATCCCCCCAGTCTCCTTTCCCGGGCAGAAGTTGAAAGGGCGGCCTTGCTGTGGCCTGTTTGTCACCCAGCGCAGAGCTGCGGGCCGCCTCGGCCGGTGGGGCAGGAGGGCGGGACGGGGGATCCCCGAGTCCTTGGGACCACGCCGCCGTCAGCGTGCCGGGTGGCAGGGCCCAGCGACACGCTCCGCAGGAGCACACCCCCCGCCCTGCCGCAGGGCGCCAGGCCGGCCGGTCACAGGGCCGTGACCTGTGTGTCTCTGCCTCACACAGGTGGGCGCAGGGCCGGGCGTGGGCTTCAACGTCAACATGGCCTTCACTGGTGGCCTGGACCCCCCCATGGGAGACGCTGAGTACTTGGCCGCCTTCAGGTAAGCATCCAGCTTCCTGTCCCCAGGGCATCCGTGGACCAGTCTGCTCGCCACCCCACGTCCCCAGCCCCCGTTGGCTTTGACCTTCATCCTCCTCTTTGTGAGCACCTCAGACCCACCTCAAGGAGGACCCGCCAGAGCCCCCTGGGTGCACATGCAGAGACAGCACTTTCTGTTGTGTTGTTTGGACGGTCTTGCTCGGGGGCCCCGGGGCCGTGTCTCGGTTCTGTCTTCAAGCTGAGGCGGGACCTTGGCGGCGGCCGTCGGGCCTGCCCGCGGGTTCCTGGCCGTGCACGCACTCAGGCCCAGGGGTGCGCCTCGGGCCCCAGTGGCTCGCTGCAAGGTGTCGGGTGGGTTGGGTTAATGACGGGCGTTCGAGTTGAAAGGCCAGTCTCCTGACTCATTTCCCAGCAGATGTCCACGAGGGGGCAGGAGACGGGAGTAAATCCCCCCTTTCCTGATAACGGGGGGCCCCTTCCACTCAACTGCTTCCGGTGCATCGCTCTGGAGGCTGCGCTTCCATAACAACCCACCTGCAGATGTGTTTCTGGGGATCCTGCCTTGTGCTCCCATGAGACCTGCAGCAGTCACGGGACCCCTCCCAGCCCCTGCTCGCGCACCTCAGGATGGACCCTAGTCCCTGACGGCCGCTGCGTCTGGGGTCTACAATGCCAGGGCCCTTCAGGCAGCTGCGCCGACAAGGAAACGGGTCTGTGAAGATACCAGTCGGTCACCTCTGGGGAGGCCCACCTGGCTGGTGTTACCCGGAGTCACTTTTCCTCAGGTTTTCATGGTTTAAATTCAATGTTTCTTTGGACTCCGTCAGATAAAACGGAATTTTGATCATTGCCCTGCCTAGTGTGACGGGAGGAAGTAGAACAGGTAGAACATCTGGAAATTTGCTCCCGTACACGGTTGAATATCAGCTTCGTGAAATCTGAACCCACGTGGCTGCCGCACAGGCCGGTCCTGCCTGTGTGGGGGCAGCCACTCGGCCCCCTGTGGCCCCTCACCGGAGAAGCGGCCTCCTGGGGGCTCCTTTGTAAATAAGTGTCCTGATGCCACAATGAGAGGCAGGACAGTGCCCAAGCGAATGTTGGTGCCACCCAGGGGACCGAGGGGCACAGTGAGGGCAAAATCTGCGGAGGGCTGAGGCGGCGGGGCTTCTTTTAAACAGGTTGGAGGGTGTGAGAACGGGCAGTTCATTTTTTCGAGCCGTTGTCCCACCAGGTGGGACTGGACGGGCCCCGCGGCGTGTGTCAGCCCCGGGGGCCTCTGAGCCTGGGGGGCGTGCCCGGCTGGCGCCTCCTCTGGCCCCTCGTTGGAGCAGGTGGGGGGGGGGCACCCAAGCGGCCCTGAAAGTTGTGCCCCCACCCCTTTGAGAGGAATCTTCCCCTCGGAGCTGCTGTTGATGTTCTGTTCTAATCTCCTGCCAAGTGTGGGCATGATGATGCCTTATCAAATGAGCTTTTTAAAGCTTAAATCGCTTCTTTGAAAAGGAAAATTGTTCTATGGGTTTTTTTTTTTTATTGATTTTAATGTAAAATAGCACTTTGAAGTTTACAATTTACGGTTCCCTGGGCATCGATCGGAGGGGGAGGAAGGGTCAGGCTCCGTTTCCCCGTCCGCCGGGCTTCTCCCCCCGGGCCGCGGCCAGCACGTGCCTCAGAGGGGGCTCTGAGGTGCTCCGACCCCGCCTGTCACGTTGCATTTCAGGAGATCAAGCCTGAGATGAGGAAGAGATAAGAAAATTGCCCCTAATGAAATCCAGGAGCAGCGGCGCTTTCTCCTGGGGCAGGAGAAGAGGGGGCTTAATTCAAACCAGTGGGGCAAGGCTTTGAAGTTGGCCGAGGCGGCGAGGGTCCGCGCCTGTGGAGCCGAGGACGCACTCCCCGTAACCCCGCATGGCCCGCCGGCAGCCGCAGGGACGAGCCTCGGGGTGTCTGTGCTTCAAGACAGTGGCTTGGGCGGCAGTGGGCCTGCATGTCCCGCAGGATGGCCCCTCAGCACAGCGAAAGGAGAGGGGCGTCGGCAAGGGGCGGCTTCCAACTTCTATTATGTCCATGAGGCGCATTTTGCTTTTTTCTAACCATTGCATGTGCTCACGTGTCCGTGACACTGCGTTCTTGGCCACCCTTTTAACATGTCTGTTTAAGGGCTTCCATGTCTCTCCTGTGTAGAATTTTACCCGAGGACGTTCTGCGGCAATTTTAGAAGCAAAGACATAAGCTAGGCTCAGTTGCGCGGGTTCGTGTTCAGGCGCCTTCCTCGTACCGACCCCGGGCAGCAGTGGGGATAGGGCCGGTGACCTATGCAGCGCCCGTCCTGCAGGGCTGTTGTTTGAATGGGGGGTCCCACTGGAGCAGCTCCACAGCAGGACCTCGGGATGAGATGGCGCCCGCTCCCACGCCCATGCTTCCCAGTGGGACCGACCCAGCCGTGGGGCTGGAGCCGCTGGTCGGCCCAGAAGCGAAGCTGACATGACAGGAACTTCGTTGGAAGCCCCTCTCCTTGGAGCGACGAGGGGTGAAGGCCACAGGCAAAGGTGCAGCCACGCTGCCCTCACGCCGCTAAGGGAGCTGGGCCGGGGGCACTGCAGCCTGGGCCCTGGGGGAGGCTCCTGTGCGCGGGGGCTGCCTGAACCCGCTGCCCGAGCTGACAGCTCTCGGTCCCTGGCACCACGTTGGGCTGCCCGCACGGCCCGCGTCTGCTCGGGAGCCCGCGCTCACCAATGCCGTGGTGCACTGTGGGCCCAGTGTCCCTGGGGCCACAGCGAAGCGTGCTCAGGCCTGGGGCAGAGGCCACGCGGACGCCTCATGCCATTGTAAGGACCGCCTGGAGCGGGGCTTGGCAGAGGGGGCCTTGGGCCAGGCCCCCAGGGCATTTTCAGTGAAGTTTCTCAGGTTCGCAGCCATGTCCGCGCACGCGGGCATGCGGCTGCTCGTGCAGCCGGGTAGCGTTGGGTGGTGACCGCCGGCACCACTATGTGGCCTGAAACAAGACACTTGAGTTCCCAGCTGCCCTGGCCCTGCCCAGGTTCCAGGTGCTGTCTCTCAGGGCCTGACAAGGCACCCAGAGCACAGACCCTGGGGCCGGCGCAGCAGTACTTCCCCAGGGAGTCAGCGTGCTGCGCTCAGCCAGGGCAAGTCAGGGCCATGCAAGAGGACTCCCTCGGGGTCAGGGCCCCCTCCCCGGCCCTGTGCCCCCCGTGCCTGAGCTGGAGCCAGCGTAAAGGGGGCAGAGGCTGAGCAGAGCCGCTCGTACCTCCGGGCAGGGCCCTTCGCAGCCCTGGGAGCTGCCACCCTTCCCCATGGGCACTGCTGGTGCCGTGGGCTGCCGGCCTCAGGCCCCTCCACGGTCCGCAGGGACCGCCACCTGGGCCGCGTGGCACTGAGCCTTCCTGTGGGCACTGGCCGGTTGGGCCTTTTCAGGTACTGCGAGGCCTCCTGTCAGCTCTCAGGCCCTGGCCCCCTGACGCCCCAGCCCAGTAGCCTCGGGGCGGGGGGTGGGGAACCGCGGCAGGCGCAGTCAGAGGCTGCGCACCCTTGCTCAGCAGCTGTGTTCTCGGCTGACTCGCTGTTGTCTCCTCCTGCCCTTTGCAGAATGGTGGTCATGCCGATCGCGAGCGAGTTTGCCCCCGACGTGGTGCTGGTATCATCAGGCTTCGACGCCGTGGAGGGCCACCCCACGCCTCTGGGTGGCTACCGTCTCTCTGCCAAGTGTAAGTCGGGTGTGTGGGGGCCCACGCGGGCCCTGCTGTCTGTGCCACCGGCCGTGCCCTGTCTCAGGGCTCAGCCTCGGTGACAACAGAAGGACACTCTTTTTACATCCCACCAAAGACGTGACAGTGCTGGCAATCCCAGAAAACGGGGGCAGCAGGCCAGTGTGGACCCTGGACCTCGGCCCCGCCCTGGGGGCCGAGCTGGCGTGAGAGCCCTGGCCTGCACGTTTCTGCCTGTCGGGCCGGGCCTCCAGACCAGCTGTCCTTTTGTTCCCAATATCAGGCCCCTTGAGGGGAGAAACAGACCCTGGGAAGTTTGTGTGGGCCGCAGCCGAGAGCAGGTGCTGTTCTCTGGCAGCGGGGGGCGGGGGCAGGAGGTTCCGGGCTGTGGCCCGTCGTGGGGCTGGTGTTAGAGGACAGCCCTGCTCCTGCCGCCACGGCGACTCATGTGGAGACCTCCTGGGTGTCCCCCCAACCCCGGCCACCACCACCTGGCACTGCCGGTGTCACAGCTGGTGAGTCGCCAGGGCTCTGCTGGGCCCCCGGCAGCCCCCGTGCTAACCCTGTGGGTGCCGGCAGCCTGCGGAGCCTGCCCGTCTCTCCCTCCCACAGGAAGCGGGTGGGCCACCTGAGGCGGGGGGGGGGGGGTTGGGACTGGCGGCGGCCACGAGGCGGCCACGCTCCTGTGCTGGGCCTCTCGTGCCCGCAGGGCCCGCCCGTGCGGCTGAGTGGCTGAGGAGGTGGCCGGGCAGAGGCCGGTGTGCGTGCCATGCCCAGGGCCCCTCAGCGCCCGGCCCCGGCTGAGCTGCTTCACGTGGTCCTCACCGCGCCCGTTCCCATCAGAGACAAGTGAAGGTCTAGGGGCTGACGGCCTCACGGTGCCCACGACCACCAGGGAGCACCCGCGGCGTGGGGCCCGCTCTACTGGCGGCCAGCTGGCGATGGGGCCGCTGACCAGTGTGGCGCGGTTCTTACCGGCTCTTTAATAACCATCAGGCTGTTGGCACGGAGGGTGGTGATTATCGTTGCCTGTCAGGCGCCTCTGCCCGCAGGAGGGTGGCGTGAGGGCAGCAGGGGCACCGTGTCTGCTGATGAAAGCCGGGCGCTCCGGACGCCAGTGTCCGCGTCCTGGAGGGGCACGCAGTGCTGACGTGTGTGCCAGAGCATGTGCACGTGCATGTGTGCCCAGCACACTGGCTGGCCAAGGCCTGCCCCAGGCGCCCTGCCTCCAGGCCTCTGTCCGCCAGGAGAGCGCCCAGGGCTCCTCCTGCGGCCCCTCCCCGTTTCCCAGACGAGATGGTTTGCGGCATTATAAAATCAAAGCACTGAAACCGTAATTCCTGCTCGCACACAGATCAAACAGAACCCCACACCGAAATCCTCCAACGAACGTGTTGCGCCCGAGCCTGGCTTCCATTAGGAGCCGCGGTGCGCCGGCCCCGGGCCTGTCGCGTGATGTAATGCGCTCCCGGGCGCTTTGATCTGCCGCCAGCGTCGGCTCGCGCCCGCCCTGCCCTCCACTTCATCTCCCGTTTCCCGTTGCAGGTTTCGGGTACCTGACGAAGCAGCTGATGGGTTTGGCTGGCGGCCGGATCGTTCTGGCCCTGGAGGGGGGCCACGACCTCACAGCCATTTGCGACGCCTCTGAAGCATGTGTTTCTGCTTTGCTGGGAAACGAGGTAGGAGGACCAGAGGCCCGCAGGCCGCGGTGTGCAGGCCGCAGCCCGGGCCCGCGTGGGCCGCCTCCCTGGCTTCCCAGGGGCGTCTGATGCTCCCCCGCGCCCAGGGTGCAGGCTGTTGCCGGCCGACAGAGCTGCTCGATGTGTCTGGAAGGAGGTGAGCCAGGGCTCGCCAGACTGTTCTCTTGAAAAGGTGGCTCAGGACCCCGGGATCTGGAGGTGCTCACTCTCTCGTATGGGTCACCAGGCGAGCACCGACTCTCAACAGTGTTCCTCGTCAAGGACCGCCAGATTCCCGCAAAGTCCTAGGGCAGGGTCCTGGGGGCGTGCCGCCGTGCGGGGCCCAGGCCGGCAAGGGGCCCCTGCCCCAGGGCTCCCACTGACAGCCCTGGCCGGCTCCGCACGGTGTGTGCCCCTCCCCCGGCAGGGCCCCAGGATGGTCAGGACGGTGCAGCAGCTGCACAGATGGGGCCCAGGGGTCTGGACTTGGGGAGGGAACTCGCGAAGGCTCAGAGAGAGCGGCGTTCCAGGGCAACGTGGGCACGGCACGACGTCCAGCCCAGCGAACGTCTAAATTTCCTGGCACAAAACTGGTTTGGAAGCTTCTGTTTCCAATTTCAAAAATGTGCTCTTCCCGAAACCTTAACCTTAAGAGGCCTTTGGCTGTGGGGTCCTGCTCCGTCTCCCTCTCCCCTGACCTCTTGCAGGACTCCTGCGATTGGTTCAGGGTCCCCCCGCCTCGTGTGTCTTCTTGTTGCTATGACATTGCATGTGACCCCTAGAAGTAAGCCGGCTGGTGCCGGGCGCTTGGGCGGGCACCCTGGGCCACGCCGGACCACCTCGGACAGGGGCTCTGCGCCCCTCCGCCCCTTAGGGCCCAGACGGCCGGGGCCTCCCGTTCACGGCGTGCGAGTCGGCTTGGGAGCCCTGGGGCTCGACTGGGGGCTGCTTTCCCCGCGCCCGCTCTGTCGCCCCTCACACCGAGCGCGCGAGCTCCTGGCGCAGCCAGCCTCCCGTGCGGCGCGCTGGGCATTCGCTGCCCGCTGGGGTCCCCTCTGAGCCGGCAGGGGCTCCCTCGGGAGGACAGCCAGCGGCCAGACTCCGGGCGCCTGTGGGCACCGTGCCGGACGTGACTTCACCCACCACGCTGGTGGGGCGCCTGGTGGTGGACGGGTCTGCTGTGATGTGACCCAGCTCTGTCCTAGAACAGCTCCTAGCCCGCGTCGCTCCCCGTGATGGGCACGAACTGACAGAAGGTAGGCGGGGGCAGGAGGAGGAGGTGTGCAGCCGGCGCCCCGGCAGACTCGGTGCGGGGAGGCCCAAGATGACGGGGACACAGAGAGGCAAAGGCGAGGCCTGCGGCCACCTCAGGCCCCAGCCCAGCAGAGTGCGCCAGTGCCCGGATGTGGGGCTGCGTCCCCAGGGGGCTGTGCCTGTCATTTCCCCCCGCCCCCCTGCAGGGACCCCTGGGGGGAGGGGAGCCGTGGCTCGCTCTGCCCCCCGCCCCCCCCCGGCCAGGCCCTGGGTGGGGGGGTGACGCCCAGGGCGCACTTCCTGCGGCTGCCGTCTTGGTCTTGGTGGTGTCGTGGGACGGGGGCCCCAGGAGAGGGACGGGGCCCTGCCCCGCCCCCGGCCATCTGCCCGGACCGCTGGCCAGAGTGGGGGGCACAGCACCAGATGGTGGAGTTCCCCGTTGTGGTCTTGCTGGTCATACGTGGTGCCCTCTTGAAGCCAGGCCACAAGTGGCCCAAGCTGGGTCTGGTGGCGTCTCTCCTGCCTGGTCAGCTGGGCCGCGCATGCCCAGGTAAAATGCTTTTTGAGGTGTCCGTGACAGTTCACCTGTGCCCTCTTCACGTGAAGCAGTTGTTTGTCTTTTTTGCTTGAGTTTAAAGTCAACTGATTTATGTATTTAAACTGTTCTAAGCCATTTGAGTTTTTTGATGCTTCAAGTTATTTTAAAATAACAGCAGAGAACTGAGCTTTCAACCAGAGCCTGTCCCTGCTTCCTGACATTTTCGCTCTTAGAACAAAAAAATGTTCTTTTACTTACATCAAAAAGCAGGAAACGCTGGTTTTATCGAGTCCTTTTAAAAATCTTTTTAATGCAAGAAAGTTGGACGGAGCCCCACGCCTCTGCCCCGCGGCCTTTGATGAGGGTTGATGTACGGCGTGTCGGACGACTTGGCGCGCGCCACGAGCGGCCAGCTGCGGCCAGCACGGCTGCCTGGCGGCGAGGCCGGGGGAGAGGCAGGAGCAGGGTCTGCAGCAGGAGACCAGCACGCGGCCGAGCTCAGCCGAGCTCCCGAGAGCCATTCTGTGTAACGGTGTCAGCTGTACTTGCTGCTCTTGGGGACAGGTGACGGTGAAAAACCACTTGGGCAGTTTGCAGGAGCGGTGCACGGGGAGGTGCGGGGTCCAGCGGGCAGGGCCCCCGGGCCGGTGGGTGCCGTCGCGTCTCGTGTCACACGTCGCCTCTGAGGCGGTGTTTGGGCCCGTTTCCTGAGGCATCGTGTGGCATTTCAGGGTTCAGTGCCCCTGTGTCACTCGACCCAACGGCGAGGTTAGCCGAGGAGCTCGCGGAGGGCCGGGTGGCGGCGTGGCGCTGGGGGAAGAGGTTTTCACCAGGAGCTTGGCGACTTTGCCCTGTTGATGTGCGCCGTGGAACGCGTGCCGTGGCGGTTCAGGGCGGCCAAAGCCGTGCATGGCCCTGGCCGGGCGGCGCGGCTGGTCGCAGCGTCATCCTGCAACCGGAGGGCGCGGGTGTGACCCCTGGTCCGGGCCCAGGATGCACAGCGGCCAGGCGGCGCTCGCCTCTCACGTGGAAGTGCCCTTCCCTCCCTCTCTCTATAAAAGCCGCAGAAAAAAGTCCTTGGGTCAGGATTTAAAAGAAAAGCGTGTGAGAGACAGACAGACACAGAGGCGTTGTGTCCTCGCCGTCCGCTTGCAGCCAGCCCGCCCCTCGCTCTCACGCTCACCGCCGTGCTCACGCTCAGTCGTGTGCGGTTGTGTTCGCATGTGCAGTCCCGTGTGCTCAGTCCCGTGTACGCGCTCACCGCCGGGCTCGCCTCGTGCCAGCGGCGGCTGCGAACCGGCCCCCGGGGATGCAGGGCCCCGTGCATGTGCATCTGGGTCGGGGCAGGGCTGCCCCCGGGGCCCCTGCTGGCAACGCCCACAAGGTGGGACCGACCCATCCCCGCCCAGGTCGTCGCCCTCTCAGCACGATGCAGGGGGACAGCGACAGGTGGCCCTCCCAGGCCCCTTTCGTAAACCGGGGAGAGTCGCCTTGGTCACCAGCCATCTGCTCCGCCCAAGGGCCACACACAGTCAAGAGCAGGATGCCCTCTTAGGGCCGGGCGTCCTCGGCCCCTGCCCCTGTCTGACCTGCAGGTTCAGTGAACCCAGTCAGTCAGGAGCGGCACTGCGATACGGGGGCCCCTCTTCTTAAGTCTCAGCGAGCGGCAGGCGGGCGGAGGTCACTCTGCGGCCCAGCTGGGCCCTCGGAGGTGCCCGTCGAGGGTCCTGGCAGGAGCCGAGTCAGCGCAAGCCAGCGGTGTTCCCGCCTCGCGGCCTCGCCCTGAAACCCAGGTCCGCCAATGGCCTTCGCGCTCTCCTGCGTTCAGCGAAACCAGCGGGAGTTCTGCGCAGCTCCAGCCGGCAGTGCTGCCGGCACCCGCTTCCCTCAGCCCTCATGCGCCGGTCCTGGCCCCCGCGGGGCGGGAGCGTCGTCGCAGGCAGCACCTCTGGCTGCCCTGTTCGCCACCCCAGGAGCACAGGCCCCGGAAAAGCCTGAGTAGATGCAGTCGAGGGCCTCCCGTCCTCCCTGCTCCACGCAGCCTCCCTCGGCAGAGGGCTGTGAGCGGGGGCGCGCCTCACGCCCTGACCCCGACCCCGACCCCCACACCAGACGCCTTGGCCGGAGGCCGGGGACAGAGACGTGGCGAGCCTCAGGTGCTGCATGGGTGCTCGGGGACGACTGGAGCCGTGGGGTGCCCACTGGGATCGCGGGCGGTGGGGGGCACAGGCGGTGATGTGGCCACGGTGCTGAGACCTGGCTGTGGCTGAGGGTGTTGGGAGGTGGGTGGCGTAGGACCCCAGACGGCCACCGACCCCCGGCACGTGGGTCCCACTGGGGAGATTGCTCATAGGGAGCCTCCTGGGGGTGGCGGGGCCACAGAAGCAGAGTTTAGTTTTAGAAAAACCCCGGGGCTTCCTCCTGTGTATGGGCACGCGCGCTTCGATGCACCCTCTGCTTCAGAGCAATTGACCGTTCGTGGAATGAGTTGCTTTTTTAAAATGGTGTTTTCCTGATACGTGGTAAAGCAGAACCCCAGCAGGACGTCGGAGCTGGGGCCTAAGGGCCGGGGCACCCCTGGCCGCACGGCGGGACGGCCTCCCCGCGGGGCCCCGGGGCCCCAGGGCAGCCGCGCTCTGCGCTGCCGTCTCCGGCGGCGGGGGAGCGGGGGGCAGCGCCGTCGCAGGGACAGGGGCGCCTCACTCCCGTGTCCCTTCTGTGGCCCCAGGCTCAGGGCGGCGCCGGGGCGGTCGTCACTGCGACAGCGGCGCCTCCGAGTCAGACACCGGCAGGGAGGCGACGACTCCCGTGAGCGTCACCTCCGCTCTCCTTGGCCGGGCGACGTCACCGTGTCTGTCGAGCGTCCCCTGCAGCAGTGGGGGACGACCCTCCGCGCCGCTGGCAGCCCTGTGGAGCTGGGGGGGGTGCCCCCTCATTGCCCCAGCGCTGAGTGTCTGGCACGTCCGGGTCCCTCGGGCTGCGCCTCCCGGGCGGCCCCCACCTCCCCCTGTATCCATTGCACCGCATTCAGGAGGGGGCGTGGGCGGGGGGCAGCAGAGTCCCCTCTGCGGCTGCCCGGCTGCCCTTTGGGTGGGTGCACGTGGGCAGCTTTGCTGGGCCGTGGGTTCCTCCAGGGGGAGATTTTAAATGAGTCCGTACCTTCAGTGGTTACAGGTCACCTGCTCAGGTTTTCTAGTCTTCCTGGCGTTCATTTCAGAAAGATACATTTTACCAATAATCGATCCTTTTGGCCAAGTTTCAGAATCTTTGGTGAAAGTTAAGTGTCCTCACTGTCTCTTGCTGCCTGCGGAGCCTACAGCCTGGTCCCCCTGTGCCCTGGGAGGTTGGTTTGTGCCTCCTCTTCAGCTTCCCTGGGCCCTGCCCCGCTTGCCCGGGTAATGAGTCATTGCAAGGAGCCAGCTTTCAGCTACAGCACCTTTGTTTCTTCTCTGAAATGTGTTTTGGCTGGTTTTCTGTGTGTCGACCCTCCTTCTCCCTGCAGGCCCGGCTTTCCCTGCAATTGCTGCCGAAGCTGAGCACATGCTCTGGGCTTTCTCTCTGGAGTGTGGGCTTCGGCGCCTGAAGCCCCGCCGCAGTGTCGGCTGCATCTCACACGCTGCTGGCACGTAGCATTTTTGGTGTATTTTACTTTTAAGCATTTCTTAATCTCTGTTACGACCCATCCTTTGGCCTACCATCCGGGTGTTTTGTAAATTTCTAGCCCCAAGGGCTCGTGGTTCTCTTTGTTACCAATTTCTCACCAGCTGCGTTGTGGAGAGAAAAGGCTGCCCAGTGGACACTTATCCAGCGGGGACTTGGTGGCGGCGGGCGTGTGGTCGGTCCACACAGACGCCCCGCGTGGGCGTAGAGGTAGGCTCCTGTCGGGCCCGCGGGTTCCGCCCGTGTCCCAAAGCCAGGCTTGCTCCTGTGTCGCCTGCGCTGGGGCTCCCTCTGGCTCCTGTCTGCGCCACCGGGAAACATGTGTTCGAGGCTCCCACTCCAGTGGAACGTTTACCCACATCTTTTTTTAGGTTTGTCAAGTTTACCTGACGCTTTCTAAAGTAACTGCACATTTTAAATCTCTGTATCCTTTTCAGAAATTGAAATATCTGTCATCACACAGTGACCCCTTGTGCGCAGTTGACGCCGTCGTGTCTGATCCCGAAGGTGCTGTGGCAGCCTCCTCTCCGCGGGGCTGCTGGGCGCGGCGGCCACCTCGCCGTGGGACCCGTTCCCATGGGGCGTCCCCCGTGCACAGCACGAGGGGGCCGTCGCTGGGGTTGTTAGGTCCAGGGCCGCCGTGTATACTTGGAGAGACACTGGGTCGGGACCGGCGGCTTGCATGCCTGGTGTGCGTGGGCTCCGTGCCGATTCACTGCGGCCGTCGGAGTCGCCGCTGCCGGCCCCTCTCTGTGGCTCCTTTTTCTCTTTCCTTGCTGGCTCCCAATGCAATGGAGGGCCCCAATTCCAGTTGTCCTGTCTCCTGAATAGGAAGGTACTGGTCGCCACAGTCTCTCAGTCATGGTCCTGAAAAAACGTGCGCACAGCCAGGCACCGCCCCCGCCCTGGCCGCCATGGCCGCCGGGGGCTCGTGCGTTAAGTGAAGGGCAGGGCGCCAGGTGGACGGAAAAAGGACTCGTCCGGTAGTCCAGTGTCGCTGGTACCCGCTGTGCTGGCCTGTCAGCAGGCAGCCTCGGTCTCCGTCCCGGGGCCTGTTCATGACACGCCTCCTGTCCCCCTCTCTCCTCTTTCCTGTGATGGCGCGGACTGGCCAGGGCCTCACCGTACCCATGCAGCCCTGTGGGTCTGGCCTTCCCGCCTTCGTGCAGTTTTTTCTGGTCCTCCCTCCCCATTTTTCAGATCATCCAATGGTTTTCCTTATCCCCGCAGCACAGCCGGAGGTTCCCTCAGGAGGGGCTCCTGTTCAGTCTTCCCCGAGGGGTGTTTTATTTAAAAGTCTCTTTTCACCCTCGTTGTCAATGGGCAGGTTTGCTGGGCTCATGGTCCCGGGTGACAGTTGCTTTCTCGGCAGCGGAAGACGCTGCCACACCCTGACTCGTCCCTCGGCTGTGAGGCGGGCGCCGTGTGGCGGACACTGCCCCTCTGAAGATGGTCTTGTGTTCTCCAGCTGCACGTTCCCTCTCGTGGGCCTGGGTGTGGGTTTTCTCCAGACTCCTCGCCTTGGGTCTTGAGCCCTTCCTGACCAGAGGGTCAGTGCCACTGGTCAAGCCTGGAAGCCCTCAGCCACGGACACCTGTGCCACTCTGATCTCCCCATCTCTGCCTCCAGGCTGCGTCCAGTTGTTGGCTTGTCTTGTTGCTTCCACGCTTGCATTACAGTTTAAACCAGGTTGAGTCAGTAGCTGCGAGTCTCTGAGGATCTAAGGGTTCGTTTCTGGATTCTCACAATCTAGTCAGAAGTAGCAGAGTTAGTACCTGTGTTCCTGTGTGTCCTTCCTTTTCCTCTGCTGTCACCATCTTACCTCAGTATGGGACATGGCCTCAGAGCCAGCCCTGGCACGTTACTAGTCACTACATCCCAGGACACCCCGCGATGCGCTGGTCTTCCCCCAGCGGGCCGTCTGCTGCCGGGCCCCACCGTGGCCCTGCCTTCGCATCTCCCTGGGCTCCTCCGGGCTGCGACAGCTTCCCAGTCTTGCCTCATCCTCACGACCGCAGCGGTTTGGGGCAGGGCCAGTCGCCGTGTCGTAGGCTGCCCCTCCATTTGTGTCTGTTTGCTTTTCCTCCCTCGTGATTGCACTGGGGTGTGAGGTTTGGGGAGCAAGGCCCCAGAGCTCAAGTGCCCGTCTCCACACTGCCTGCCTGGTGCACCATCCCCGTGGCTCATCCGCCAGAGCTGCTGACGGTGGGCCTGTTGGTGTCCGGCTCCTCCCCGGTGGCCCCCATTGGCGGGAAGTGCAGCCCAGCACGCACTCCGGGGCTCCGCGCATGGACAGGGCATGTGTAATAGATGCTTGAAGTTCTTCTTGAGGAAAAGTACGTCCCTTCTCCCCATCTATTTATTTCAGACTCTGGGTTATAATTGGGTGCTGCGTTACGTGTCCAGGCCCCAATATCGGTCTTTGACCTGCTCTGTAGTCTGCAGTAGGAGCCGCCCCAGCCTCCGCCTCCATTCTCCCTGCCCGCCAAGCTTCCGGGCAGCCAGGCGCCTCTCACCGGAGGACGGGGTCAGACACCTGGGTTGCTCCTCCGGGCTCCAGTGCAGCTGGCTGCTGCTGGGCTTGATGATGGGCATCCCTGTTTGGAGCCGAGCTGGCAGCTAACTGGCAGCCGGGCTTGGGGACGTGTGCCCAGGAGAGGATGGGCAGTTGCCACGCTGTGTCACAGAGCCCAGCCACGGCAGACACAGCGCTGCAGCCACTGTCTTCAGGACCAGGCAGAGTCTCGGGTAACCGTTCCAAGCTTCTGCCCAGAGCCAAGGCTAAGAACCAAACTGCTCCCATTCGGCCCTGCAGGCGCACAGACGGTGCGTGCCTGCCCTCCCTGGCTTGTCTGCAGCTCCGGCATTTTGGCCCAGGCCTGCCCCACATCCCCCCACCCCCTGGTCCCCACAGCACATCTGACCTCCCTGGCAGGTCACCCCAGGGTTTGTACGCCTGTCAGTTGTTGCGTTTTCACTGTGTGTTGCAGCTGGTCTCGTTTGCCCCTTGGCCCTCCTGCTGACTTCGCATGTGCCCAGTACCTGTGGCCAGCTCTCGGGGTCACCTGGAGCAGCGGCCCCCTCTACTCTGCGCTCTCTTTCTGCGTTCCTTTCCCCCGTGGTTAGAGGGACACTGGGGCCGGGGCGGGCCAGCGTTCTCACTCACAGCACCAGGGACAGGAAAGCAGTATTTCCAGAAAGTAAGCGTTGCCCCCCTCATCTTCCACCATGATCTACACAGGCTCCTCCTGGACGCCGTCTGCTGTCCTGCTCACATGGGGATGCACGTGGGTACCTGAGAGTCTCCTAAGGGAAATAAACCTACTTTTGTAAAAGTTTCTGTAGTAAAGCCCAAAGCCACAGCTGCCTTTGTAAGGTTATTTTCCCCTGTTAGCAAGTGCGCTCAAGAAACAGGCACTGACCGTGCCCAGCCCCCTGGAACGTGCACAGGGATTGTGCGGGCGGCTTCCGCAGCCTCAGCAGTCACACATCTTTTGCAGCTTGAGCCCCTCCCAGAAGAGGTGCTGCAGCAGAGACCCAACGCCAATGCCGTACGCTCCATGGAGAAGGTCGTTGAGATCCACAGTGAGTCACCTGGGCCGAGTGCCCCTGCCCCCCCTACCCCGCTCCATGTCCCCAGCCCTGGGCTCTTCTCTCTGTCGCTGCGAGCTGCTCCCAGGGCCTGTGTGACAGGCCTCGCTTTCAACAAGAATTGACAGCCGACGGGGCCTGTCGCTGATCCCCTGCGAGCTCCCTGCAGACTCTAGAACACGTATTGCCAGCTCCATCCCACAAGTCGGAAAAGCTTGGCATCAGGGGTCTGTGAAGTCACATGTTCCAGGTCCCCAGCTAAGAGGGGTGGGACTGAGGTGTGAACCATGTCCCCAGGTCTGGTCTCTCCCGCTGGCCAGAGAACCGCACCCCACCCTCAGACTCGGGGGAGGGTGCGGGCCCCGCCCCCTAGAACGGCAGGTCTTGGGGAACCGAGGGAGCTGGCACCCAGCCAGGCACCTGCCAGCACACCTGCCTCGGGTGGGTTGGCAGTGCCCTGTCCTCGTCACAAAGCTTGGTTTGTCCTGGGTCTTCATGGTGGGCAAAATCATGGAGACTGTCCATCTAGGTGGGTAGAAACCAGGGGTCCCTCTTGGGTTCCTAGCCTTGGAGCTCTGTGCATGGTCCCCTCACTCTGAGGCCCTGTAAAGACACCCCCGTCATCCTGAAGGGTCCGAATGGGACCCCCTCAGCACTGGGTGACAGTGTTCCCATGCTCACCCGCTCCCGGAGTCAGGGAGCCAGCCACAAAGAACCTGCAGGGCCCAGTCCCACGGAGCCTGTAACCGAGCGCTTCCCTCGCCCAGGCCAGTACTGGCGCTCCCTGCAGCGCCTGCCTTCCCCCGCGGCCTACTCCCTGATCGAGGCCCAGAAGTGTGAGAACGAAGAAGCTGAGACTGTCACCGCCATGGCCTCCCTGTCCGTGGGAGTGAAGGCCGCCGAGAGGAGGTGAGCCCCGTGCGCCGCCCTGGCCTGCTGGCGCTGTGTGACTGGCGCGTGCTGGGAGCAGTTGGCATCTTTGCTGCTGTGTGGGAAACCCTCAGAGGGCACCGGCGGGAGGGGGCAGGTGTCCCCATACAGCTCAAGAGCCCGGCCAGCGCGGCCACATCTTTCCAGAGTGAAGGACCCTTTGAAACACGGGAAGGGAGTGGGTATCCCTGAACCTCTGGCCGGGAGCCGGAAGTTGGAGGCAGGCAGGGCCCACAGGGTGACTGCGGTCCTGCCGGAGGAAGGAGGACAGACAACAGGCAGCGTTGCCACCACTAACCCCCCATCCGTCCCCCCTTGCTCTTTCCTGCTGTGCACCTGTCCCCGTCCCCCCACCCCCGGCACTGCCACAGGCCTGACGAGGAGCCCATGGAAGAGGAGCCACCTCTGTAGCCTCACCCACAGCTGCGACCCTCTCGTTTGTCCGTCCGTCTTGAAGCTCCGCCAAGAAAAGTTCCCGTCTCTCTGCATCCTGCCAGGCGTTCTATCTGAATCGGCAGGCGCACCGGGGCCCAGAGCCCGGGTCTCACCGGGCAGGGCAGCCTTACACGGAACCCGGGACAGACGCCAGGATGCGCAGACACACCAACACGCAGGGTGCCAGGCTCACTCTCGGCTCCCACAAGGGAAGCCATGGAGGGAGAAAGCCTGTGGCAGCTCGTGGCAGAGTTGCCAGATTTAGTTGACACAAGGAAAAGAAAATCAAAGATCTCACAATACAAAACAAACTTGATTAAAAACTGGTGCTTAAAGTTTGATTACCCACAATTCCACAGTCTCCGTGTAAACCACTCATCTTGTAGCTTACTTTTTTAAAGAGGACGTTTTCTACGGCTCTGAACCAGAGCGGTGTGCGGTGGGGGGTTTGCAGCCGGGTGGGGGACCGAGTGGACAAGCATTTGAGGAAAAAACTGGACAAAAACAGAAATGTGAGCCTGCAGGAGCCGGCTTTGTTTTCTCAAAGCCATTGGAAGATGCGAGTTTGTGCCTTTTTTTTATTGCTCTGATGGATTTTTGTGGCTGGGTTTTCTGAAGTCTGAGGAACAATGCCTTAAGAAAAAAATAAACAGCAGGAATGGGTGGGACCATGGCCGATGGGTGGTGGGGCTGGTGGTGCCCACAGGCTGGAGGCTACCGTGCTGGCCGGGGCTCCGCGAGCAAGCGCAGGCCGCGGCCGGGGGCTGCAAACCTGCTGCCCTCATTTTGCTTTATTGCTCTGTAAGAAAAATGGAGGTAGTTCCCAAAAAGTGGCAAATACTGTTGGGGGTTTTGAAGTCCAAGAAATTTTAATCAAATCCAAAGTGTTCTTTTCTCACACATCATATACCAGTTGAGCATTTCCGTCTGGTTGTGAAGCATGTCCTAGGCACACTCAGTGTTACGATCGGAATGCTTTTATTAAAAGCAAGTAGCATGAAGTATTGCTTAAATTTTAGGTATAAATAAATATATATGTATAATATATATTCCAATGTATTCCAAGCTAAGAAACTTGATTCTTACGAAATCTTGATAAAATATTTATAATGCATTTATAGAAAAAGTATATATATATAAAATAAATGCAGATTGTCAAGGTCCCTGGCGAATGGGTGACTTGTGAACTAGCTATCAAGGTGCTTATGGAAGGGGATCTAGGTGGAAACTCACGTGTTTCTGAAGTCCAGATTGGGTCGATTTCAGATCGCCAACACATTCGCCACTGGCAACTACCGCGAGTTTGTACTTTCATTTTAATTATTTTCTAACAACCCCCTCCTGCTCCACGCCTCCATGCACATATGTAATGAGTTTTTATAGCAAAGAATATAAATTTGCTATTGATTTTTTTATGAATTTTTCACAAAAAGATCCTGGATAAGCATTGTTTTCTGAATTTCACATTTTTTCTCACCATTTAGTGCTTTTCTGAATGGTAATAATGTCTAAAACTTTTTCCTTTCTAAATTCTTGCTTGTATATTTTTTAACTTTCAGAGGTGTTTTTATTGTGTTCATTTTTGTTTATTTGTACAGTGAGCAGTTTTCTGTGTGTACAGACTGTCGCCATCAGAGTTTATTTTCAGAAAGAGCATCCATCATGTGAGCAGCGGCTCTGGGGTCTCGCAGGGGCGTGTCTCTCCTGCGCCGTCAGAGGGGCTGAACCCAGTCACGGGGGCTGCTTCCCACCCTGCCAGCACTGTTGGGGAGTGGAGAGGATCACTCGTGACACCAAGCTGGGTGGCTTGCCAGACACCACAGGCCGTCAGCATTCAGGAAGCTCGTGTTTAAATTTCTCTGACCACGTCGTCAGACTAGAATTTTAGCTTCAGTTTTCCAAAGACCTTTTTAAGCATGTCAGCAATGCATGGCCCGGCACCGTTCCGGGTTTTTCCGCTGCAGCCACACAGCCAGGGCCCTTGCTGCCTGGCGAGCCTGCAGGGACACCAGGTTCCCAAACAGGACAGCCAGCCTTTGCTCTTTTTCTCTTTGACAGAAACTGAACATCACTTTTTACTGGTAACTTATTTTTCAGCACTTGAAGCCACCTATTTCATTCCAAAGGGTGTACTGAGTTCAGACTTGTGGGAGGAAGTTCAGGCACGGCATGCCCACAGGAGGGAACCCCGAGCCAAGTTTCTGAGTTAGTGACATTTACAGGGTAGCTTCTGAGAGAGCCACTGGCATGGTTGGGCAGTGACCAGATGAATCCAAATCCTTGGATCAGCTTGGTCATCGGAATGCTGCTGTTCAGGTCCAGGACAGTGGTTTGAGGGTAGGGCAGGGTGTTTGATTTTCTTCTCCCTCCTGGCCACTCAGTTCTGAGGCCCCCATGGCAGGAGGAGCTTGTGTGGGAGTAGTGCCACCTGTCCCTGGCATGGTGCCGCATGTGGTAGGGACCCCTGCCACCTGCCTGCTTTTGTTGGCCATGGCTCTCGGGAAGGAACGCCTCATCTGCCATTTCTACAAATGATGGGCAAGATGGGCCTCCTAGTGGCCACCTTCTCACTGGGGGATTGACTTCTACTCTCATAGGACACCTTGCAGACAGGCCTTTGTAGCTCACTCCAGCTTCACAGACGTGCGGGAAGCGTTGCCGTGTAGCCTTTCTTTTCTGTGAAGACACTTGGCCCCTCTCTACGGCCACCCGTCCAGGGCAGATGGCAGAGGGCCTGCCCACACTGGGCAGGATCCATGTCAGGGAGGGCCCCCTCACACCTCCCTCTTTGGTCCTTGGACCGTAGCCTTTTTCTTCCCTTTTGCAAAGGCCTTGGGGCACAGGCCGGGGGTCGGCAAGTGAGCACTTTATCTCCCTTTACGGGGAACCCTGTTGACGCCGCAGGGCTCGCGGTGTCTGCCCGCCCTTCCGGCTTTCCCGCCACGTCGCGGCCCAGCCCCACCAGCAGGCGGCCGTTTGGGACCGCGCCCGCCTTCCAAAGGGCCACTTTGTCAACATGTTTCAGTTTTTCTTTTCTTTCTTTTAAAAGTCTGTTTCCAGAGGAAGAACCGTTTTGTAGCGGTCTGACACGCAGCGAGTCTGGGTTGGAACACCATCCTTGGACTTGGTTGTTTTGTATTTTCCATCAGAACATTCCTTCTTTCCTGGTCACAGCCGCGTGCTCATTCCATTCTTTTTGTAGACTTTTGGGCCCACGTGTTTTACGGGCATTGATACATATATAAATATACATATAAATATATATGACTCTATTTTTTTACGTTTCCTACACCCGGAGGTTGCATGACTGTACGGCCGGCATGTCTTTCTATTGTACACAGATTTGCACGCCGAACTCGGCAGCTTGGGGGAGGAGAAAATGCCTTTGCGGTCCCCTCTCGTGATATTTGCTGATTCAAAAGATGGAGATTTTTCTGTAACACAAACCCTTGAAGGAGAGGGGGGGAACGTTTGCATCTTATTGAACTTATTCTTAAGAAATTGTACTTTTTCTTGTAAGAAAAATAAAAAGGACTACTTAAACATTTGTCATATTAAGAAAAAGTTTATCTAACACTTGTGACATACAATAGAGTTTATTGTATTTATGTGAAAACAGTGTTTTAGGGGAACTAAGCAGAATTCAAGTGAACTGCCTGTCTCTTCATTTGATTTGGAGGAATTTTGTTTTGCTTTGTTTTCTTTTTTTTCCCTTTATTCTTTTGCACCGGCGGGCGAGGCGAGGTGGCCCACGTGGCCCTGAGGACCGGATATTCGGATGGAGACCCAGTGGGCCCCAAGGAGCCCCTTCCCGCACAGCCGCATTGACTTTTTATTCCTTTTAGGTGATATATGGCTAAGATTTCACTTCACACTAAGCCGTCGTGAACTGTGCGAGCTCTGTGGTCTCAGAGCCTGCTCTGCATCAAAAGGAACCCATTTCTTCCTGTAACAAAGCCAGGCTTCTTCCCAGCTCAGCTCGCTTTGTCTCTGACGTGATTAAAAGCCACCTATGAAAAGAGAAGAAAGTGACAGTTTTTGTTCGTTTGGGGGGCGTGTGCTCCATGGTGGAGGCCCTAGTGTCCACCTTATGAGAATGACATACAGAACATATACGTAATGGGGGTTGATCCTCTTCACCTAAGAGCTTATGACAGGTAATATAAAATCCAAGCTGTGATGACATCGCGTCCTACCTGATGCCTGTTCCTGCTTGGGGTGGGTTCCCACTAGCAGCCGCCGCTTGTTTCTTCTGTAATTTAATCAGTTGTCCGATTGTCTGGAACTTCCAGTGGGTCTTTCTTTTGCTTGGTGGGGTTGGAGGTTTGTTCTTGGTTTTCTCATTTTGTTTTGTTGGGTGGATCTGCACTGGCTGACGGTGTCCTCTGATGGCCGACCCCACTTCCACTGCACCTGGAGTCCAGTATTTTGTACCTCGTACAACTTGTTACTCTTGTGGTGTCAATAAAGACAGCGTTCATTGCCCTCTCACCTCTGGTTTCTGCCGTGTGCTCTTGTCCTCGCTGGCTCTCGTGGACCTGGGACCCTGCAGGGCTGGTCTGCCTACACCCTAGGCTGAGATGGGGATCCTGAACTTGTAGGGGTGGCCTCTGGGACCCAGGATGTCAGCAGGCGGCCCAGTCACCCTTTACCTGCACAAGCAGGTCCCACAGCAATGTCTTCATTTTAAATGTCTAGTAATTTTAAGTCCTTGCACTGTTTTCTCCCAAAAAATAACTGCAACTTCAGTGACGTGGGCTGGCAATGACCTCAGAGAAGGAAGAGGCCAAAAGGCCCAAGCTCAGCCACTGTCCCATAGCCAGGCACACAATCACCCCAGACTGGGAGTCTGCAAATTTCCAACCATGATCTAAGCCCGGCAACATGCTGCCACCCCCAGACCACTCCACTGTCCTTGGGTTCCCACGTCCTGTCACTAGTTACTGGGGTGACGGATGGATAAAGATCAGTTACTGGGGTCAGCTCTATGGGGGACTAGCTACTCCTGGGGCCGGACCCCGGGGGGGGGCTGTCCAAGGTGCTGCCCACCCCCTTCACAGCTTCCTGTGCTGAGTCTGTTCTTTCACAGCTGCCTCCCCAAGGGCACTCAATGAACATCCTGCACACAACCCCCTTCGAGTCCTCTTCCTAGGACCCCTGTGCCTGGGCTGCAGAATGAGGCATGGGGAGCATGCCCGTCCGAGCTGGCCATCAGACACGGGCGCAGCTGCCCAGCTGCCAGCCTCGAGGCCATAGTGCTTGGAGTTGGAGCCAGGACTGGGGACCAGGAGCTGGGTTTGTGGGGTTGGGGAACTGGGTGTGGTTACATGGTCTCCCCAGCTGATGTGGGGATGGGAGCTGGTGAGAGGCTGCATTGTACCCAGGGCCTCCAGGTTTAAGGTGGACATTATGAGAATATATTCATCAATTTACCCAAAAGAAGAGGATCTTATTCTAACAGCTTTCATTTCTGAAACCACTGCAATAGTATTTCCAGCTCTAGGGCCTGGAGGTTCCTGAGGGCCACTTCCATTTTATTAGGACCAAGGTGTTCATTGACATCTTTTGGATCATTTTATCTGAAAGTGACTTTTTAAATGTATGTTACAAAGCATTGGTTTTTGTTTTTGTTTTTTTACCTTTTGAAAATAAATACTGCAACCACATTGAGGGAAACTCAGGCTGTGTGCCCATCATGGAGCCTGGATGTGATTCACACCTCACCTTAAACATTTTGATGATGGACACCT